TCTTAAGTCTCCAGGGTTTTGAATGCCAGCAGACTTAATCCTAATTTATAGACATTCTGAACTAAATTGATCCACATGAACTTTTTCAAATATCCCAACCAGGATTCAATAATATGTTCTTGTAGATTCTACCTAAGTCTTGATTTTACAGAGTTTGGAGGGGGGAATACGTTTGATTAGAAGAGTTTAAGGAGGCCACTGGGTACTCATCTTTTACTTCAGGGCTTCCCATCAGTGTATGGCCGGCTATCAGAGAGGATAGGGGAAGAATACTAGGCTGCTCAGGTCTTTGGTTAGATCAGTAGGGATGTTCCGAGATGTTTCCATTCATTTTATTTTGTGGATAATATGTAGTTCAACAGCTCTCCAAAAATTGCTACGTAACTGTAATATTTTCTCCTTTTACCCCATTGAATGCATGAAAAAATTGCTTAACGCACTGTAAGCCGCCCTGAGTCTTCGGAGAAGGGCGGCATATAAATCAAATTAAAAAAATAAAAATAAAAAAAAATGTCAATTGTTTTTAATTACTTACATTCTCTCATATTTCATTACCATTAAATTGAACTCAGGGTTTTGTTTGGCTTTTTTATGACCACACATACTACTTTGTGCTGGTCAAGCATCTCTTGACAGGATGTGTAAAGGCCTGGGGTGACCTGAGACAATTTCTGCTTTTGAATATTACCAGTTAACATTTGATATATTGTCCTAACTAAATAAACTGTATGAAACTCAAAAAGTACTTTGCTTTCTCTATCCTTCCATCAAATGACTGAAATGAGCAGTTGACTAATTGCATTACGTCCATACACACAACATGAGGAGATGTAGAATACAATCTTCTTTACTAGCTGACTCAAAGGATCTCTAAGGAGGGCAGCATATAATATCAATAAGCATATAATATCAATATGCAAAGGCCAGCATTCTCAACTAGGAAGGTTTTTGGTGCTTCCACATTCATATCTACTGGATAGATGTCGGTCTTGCCAGCATTCTGCATGTCAAATTTCCTTGATTTGGTGCCTTCTGGAAGTGTTAGCCTTCCACTCTCAAGCCGACTGAAATTCTAGGAGTTCCAGCCTCAACACAGTGGAGGATGGCCAGTCAAGAAAGCTAGCCTGGGGAGACAATTGACCCTATGAAGTTTCTCTTCCTCTTATGTTAAGTGTGTCAGTAATTAAAATTGCCTCCCCCGCCATGCCTTCCCTTTCAGTCAGCCTCTACAGATAACTGCATTTACATGTGCCCTTGTTAATCTCCTCTCTGCACCTGGTGTTCTGGGGAAACTCTCCTTGTGTTCCTTATCTGCACAGGTTCAGGGAGCAGTGACTTTAAAACATTCTCCTCTGCAAAATGCACTGCGAGGCCATAGATCATTTGCTATGAGTGAAATCAGGAAGTTGTCATTGTTTCCAGCACAAGCTGTGGGGCATGGAAGTCCTGACACATAAGGCCACAGGGTGTTTGGGGGGGGGCATGTTTTTATTTTTATTTTTTTGTTATTATTATTCAGAAATAAAATAGAGACCAGACTGAGTTTAGAAGAGCGTATCTAAGAGTCTTAACCTTATCTTTCTCAGAAGATAAATAGTTTCCCGTTGGCATTGGTTTGAGTGGCTTTCCCACCACCATGGATGCTTGCTTATTTTCTCCTAATATTAAAGGTGTTTATAAGCAGCTGACATTTAAGCAAGACTTTTGCCCTTTCCTAGGGACTCGGTTCCAAGCAGAGAATATTTCTGCTTTTGGGAAGAGAAATGTCAGAAAGCTCCCTAGATTTTAAGAGACATGGGCTTGTGATGGGTTTTGCTTTATTTTTTTGGCCCTTGGACTAATGTTTCTAAAGGGTGCATTGATTTCTTTTGTTAGATTGTTATCGCATATGCTATATCAGGGCTAAACTCTTATCAGCAGACATCAAACTGAAGAAAATAAAATAATTGGACAGTACTCCTTATCATTATCCTTCCCTAAGTAAATTGTTCAGAGAGGCTTGAGGTAGAAATGAATTTATCTAGAAGTAAATGCCAGTTTCCAGTTTAAAAAAAAAAGTTATATATTATGGTCACGTGACCATGGGATGCTGCAAAGTGCAATAAATCCAGGATGGTTGCCAAGCACCCAAAATGAAATCATGTGACCTCAAAGGGGCCCTGCCATTGGAACCTCAAACCTGGGTCACTAAATGACTGGTTGTAAGTTGAGGATTACCTCGATTTGTTAAGACCACTCTACTCCAAAAAGATTCTGAGCAGCTTATAATATATCCATATATTAAATTTAAAAGCACAACAAAAATAACATGGTTGCCCAGACTAAAACAGCAATCCCCAATATTTAGAGAAATGACATGGGTTCCACCAATGCCTTAACCCCAGGTCCAGGAACAATGTCAAGTCTTAAGATACTTCTGGAATCCTTGGAAAGTGGAAGCCATGTGTAGGGCAGGGACTATGACAAAGGAGTCATGATTCCTTAGTCCCACAAGATAACAACATTTGAGAAACCTGGAGTACAGGCCTGAACACATCTGATGGTCAGAAAGAACTGGAGATAGGCAGTTCCTCAAATAACCAGGCCCAAAGGAAGAGCTTTGTAAGTAATAGCCAATATCTTGACTTGCTATTGCATTTTGAACCAGGTCTAACTTCTGGATGATCTTCAACTACAGTACATTGCAATAATCCAATCATGATATGATTAGGATGTGAGTGGCCATCTGAAGGGTCTCCTTATCAAATAGTAGTCATTTTTAAAAATTGTTCTGACTAATGGAACAGACTCATAAAAAGTACCTGATTCTCTAAATATGTAAATGATCAATAATACATTAAAGAAAACCTTCAGAGTTTGTTTTTTTTAAGTTTGAATAAAACATTCATGGCCTCCTAATTTTCAGTCTAATGAGCCACAGTGGTGCAGTGGTTAGAACACAGTACTGCAGACTACTTCTGCTGGCTGCTGGCTGCCTGCAATTTGGGCAGTTCAAATCTCACCAGGCTCAAGGTTGACTCAACCTTCCATCCTTCCGAGGTGGGTAAAATGAGGACCCAGATTGTTGGGGGCAATATGCTGACTCTGTAAACCGCTTAGAGAGGGCTGTAAAGTAGTATATAAGTCTAAGTGCTATTGCTATTGCTAATGCCTTAACCACTAGACCAAATTGCCTGAGTTGAGGCAATGAGCTGTATGATACATGTTGCAGGTACCAGATTATTGAATGAATGAATAATTTAAAGAGTATCTGAAGGGGTTTTTAAGGGGAGTTTTAATGGTTTTTAACATTCAATATTGATTTTATCTGTTTTTATTGCTGTGAGCCACCCTGAGTCCTTTCCGGAGAGAGGGTGGCATATAAGATAAATAAATAAATAAATAAATAAATAAATAAATAAATAAATAAATAAATAAATAAATAAATAAATCTATTTTTTTGAGGGGAGGCTAATGGACTAATCATCAAGGAAGATGCTATCTTAAATGTTTGCCTACACTTGATCCTCTCAAACAGTTAACCATATTCAATAAGTCCAACAGACCTTGTAGGCCTCCTATGTGAGTTCCTCTAAGGGAGAATAATGTAGAAGAAAACAGGCAGAGAGATATGCATGCTAAATAGGTGTTTCTCTCCAGGGGTATCCTACCTTATTTTATTGCTAGAATAGACCTTGTATGTTGAAGACCACGAATTAAGTTCTCACAGTTCTGATGAGACAAGGTTAAAGGAACCAATGAAACTTGCTTTCTTTTCTTTTCTTTTTTTTTTTTTGGAGGAAGAATAACCCTAAGAAAAGACATATAATATCTCTTGAGTTTTCAGTTGTAGAAGCCAAACAACTAGTCAAACTTCTGCCTGGCAGACTCTCCTTGAATTAAATCCTGAGCAAAGCTTACTTTGGACAATTTCATTCATGCCTGCCCCCCCATCAACTGTGAAAAGCCCCTAAAGGTTTTATGTGTGAAGACCTAGAATCACTATACCTCTCCTTAGACTCAGCCGATGTTTCTGTTTCGTTTCTGCAAATGAGAAGGACACTTTTGAGAAGCAAGGATCACCTTTCCCCCGGTTGGATGCAAGACAATTGTGTGAAACAATACTTTTTCTCCATTGAACTTATTCTCCCTGTGCCTGCACACACACACATTCTCTCCCTCAAAAAAAAAAAATCCCCTTTCTTTCTTTATATGATTTGGCTGTTTCTGGATCAGTTGATGGTTTCTGTGTTTGTTCTCCCTTTCTGTCAGTTTATTACCAGACCTCAACTGAGTTAAAAAGTGAACTTCTGCAAGTTTCGTTTGCTTCCACGAGTCAAGATAATAGTCTAGCAACATTCAATCTGTTTCCATATCACTAATGGAGCAAAATTTGGATAGGCACAACAGAGACCCAAGCTCCTGAAATGAACACATGTAACTTTCAAACACTTTCCGCCTCTCCCCAGGGCAGGAAGAGGGTGAGTCATAGAATTGCTCCTTCCCTCTCTTCTTTAGAGGGCTGAGGGTGCTGGGGTAGAGTAAGCAGAACTACCCGGGTTCTTGACAGGTAAATTTGCTCTTCCCTTATCACTTATTTAGGCAGTGTTAAAAATGTGCACAAGGGGCAATTGTAGATTGAACAAGGGGCAATCCCCTTTGCCTTAAAATTGCCAGGTTTCTTAATATATTCTTGGTGCAGTGAGAGGGAGGGGGGAAAGAATGTTACTAATAAACAGCATTCTTGTGAATTTTGCTCTCTAATCTTACAAAGGAGGAAAGGAAGCATGCTTCTCTTGGATGCTTAGCAACTATCTTGGGGTGCAACTACCTGCAAAGGTCTTTGATTTTTAAAAAATCCCATTGACTTGGTTTCCTCTGATTGAGTGAATCTCCCCCCCCTTCCAACCACCTTTGGTACATGCCCACCCACCCACACCACTGCCACCACTTCCTATCATTTAGTGCAAGATCTCATACAGGATTTTCAAGCTGATCCATGCAAGAACATTTACCAATGCTGAGACTTCCTAATGCTGGTTAGGGATGGTGGAAATCATAGTGTGTTGCAGATTGAGTCCCAGGTTGATGGGTCAAACAGAACAGCCAAAGAAAGGAGGAGGATAGCTACTTTTTTTTTTTAAGATTTATTCTGGTGGGATGCTGAAAATTACCAAATTAGCATTCAAGAAGATTAAGTAGTTCTTAACCATGTAGTCAGAAAGCTTTTCTTTTAGCCTTCTAGCCCTGCAATAAAACACAATTGCAAGCAGTCGTGACAAAGAAAGGGCAAACTTGAGATCCTTCACCCTCCTTTCTATAGGAACCTGAGAAGAAACGGCTCCTTCAAGACTTTGAATTGTCACCATGAGCAACCTTGGAAAGCCAATGGCTCCAGCTTCCACCATCCTGACCGAACAGCCCAAAAGAAAAAGGGGGAGACCAAGGAAGCAGCCACAGGTAAGAGTTCAAGCTTTAGTAAGCTTAGAAAATTCTGTTAAATACTTTGCCTTTGGGTTAAGTTAAGATTTATTAGCAGTATACCCTCTGACCATAATGAAAATGATATTAGGTGACAAAGGTTGTAATTCTCAAACAGTCTCAGCAATTCCAGCCAGCTTTGCTTTGTTCAAGGCTAGAGATCTTTTTCTATTTATCAGTGTATGTGTGTCATAATAATGTATAGGGCAATTTATGTGATCAAGCTAAACCGACTGCTCAGTGATGGAATCTAGAAAAGAGCATCTCTAACACGTAATCGTCCAGCCACTACATGAATTCATCCAACCAAGGGAAGCTTATTACCTTTGCTGTTAAATGGTTCCAATATCAAACTGTGCTTCCTATTAAGAAGTTTATTCTAACATCTAGTCAGAACCTGCCTTCCTTTCTCTAATTTAAGGCCATTGTTCTGCCCTCTTAGAAATAGAGAATGAGTTTGGGCTAAACTGTAGTTACTTTGGAGGATGTGAAGTGGTGTGCTCCATTCTTGAATTACAATGTGCATTCCTACTGCTCGGAGTCACTGAGAGTCGCCTGGTATATAAATTATTATTATTATGGTTGGCCACAGTCAACCAGATATTTAGACTGGATTTGGCATTTTTATCTACCTACCCAGTCTTCCTGGGGACCTGGGATAGATAGATGTTGTTGTCTGATGGTGTTAAGGGTAAGGGATGGTGTTAAGTAAGATGATGTTAAGGGTATCTATCGTCTGCAGGATGTAAGCTGTTCCAAGTAAAGCTGCCTTTTGCAATTGACTGATTTGATTTTGTCAATGCTGATGGTGTTGAAGTGATGCTCCAGATGTTTTAGGATTGCACTCGACACTTATCATTATTGGTACTATTTTTGCTTTCTTTTGCCACAGTTGTTCTATTTGAAGATCTTGTATTTTGTGATTTCCTCCAATTATTTCCCTTCTATTCTTTGTAATTTGTAATTATACAAATAATTCCCTCAACACTGTCAAACTAGTTACTAAGTCTGCATTACTATTAATCTTCTCATTGTTCCTATCACCCACCTCCTCCCAATTAGGACTGTATGACTGTAACCTTGTTGCTGGTATCCTTAAGATTTATATTGACTGTTTCCCTATGACTATCATTAAGTGTTGTACCTTATGACTCTTGACGAATGTATCTTTTCTTTTATGTACACTGAGAGCATATACACCAAGACAAATTCCTTGTGTGACTCCAATCACACTTGGCCAATAAAGAATTCTATTCTATTCTATTCTATTCTATTCTATTCTATTCTATTCTATTCTGCTGCCTCCAGGTGCAACATACTGCAACATCCACTAGCCAAAATGATTTGTCTTTCGACAATTGTTTGGGATGTTATGTGGCAGATGCTTATCTTTCTGAATTCTAAAATCCCCAGAGTACTTTAGCATCTTCATTTGTTATTACTTTGTCTACTTTGTGGTCCCATCATCGTTTGTGGGCAAATGGCATTTCTTGCAAATATTCCAATGTTTGTAGTCAGTCTGTGCAATCTTCTGGCAGCAACAACCAGGTGGTCCACTGTTTCTTTAGCTTCTTTGTAGAGGCAGCACTTGCTATCTGTTGCTGTCCTCTTCAATTCTGGCTGTGTATGCATTTGTTCTTAAGGCCTGATCTTGCACAGCCAGAATTAATCCTTCTTCTCTTTCTTCAATTTTCCTGCTCTTAGCCATTATTACTATTATTCCTATTAGTAATAGTAGTGGTGGTGGTAATAATAATTAGGAAAAGAATGAGATTCCATTCACATGCAATGTATAAAGAGGAAGGTGAGCACAGTGGCACTTGTATGGTATATTAATTTATTGGTTCAATTGGTTCAATTATTCAATTATTAATTCTGTAAAACCATGTACAAATATTAAGATTATCATGCACAACATTCTTCAGAATGGTTTAAATATTTATTCAAACATAAATATTTTCTGTACTGATATTCTCTTTTGATAAGTTTTGTTTCCATTGTTGTCTATGTTGTTTTGATCAAATATATTTTTGGCGATACCTACTATATCTACATTCACAGGACTTTCATGTCTGTGGTTAATTTAAGTACAGATTACTGAATTAATCAACCCTTCTGAGTTTGCCTCAGAATATTGAACAATAAACTAAATGCAGGACCAGGGTTGGTCCAATATGTTAGGTTAAAATGAGGTAATTGGAAGGTATGTTGGAAGGTACTTTTTAAACACAGACTTTTTAAACCAATAAAATACTGCAGTACTATTTTTTTTCTACTAAAGATTATTGTTATGTTTTTGCAAACCTTAAATCTCCCTGTACCTCGATGTTATGTGTTCAGGGTGTCATTTTGGTTGAATTAAGGATTCACAACATGCTTTCTTTACAGGGACTATTTATTCCAGAAGGTCTAATTTAGGTATATTTCCAGAAAGACATAAAGATTCCAGTAAACCAGATGACTAACCAACAAACAAATGTCCATTTACCGATAAACCAATAAACTCATTCATTTTCCTGGACAATCTAGCTGCTCTATAGCATTAGATGATGCTCCTTACATCTGTCAAAAAAGTCCCAGCAGTTCTTGGCCTGCTACACAGCTGGTGTAGGCTGTCTTTTGGTTTTCTAGTATGCTAAGCATAGCCAAAGCATGTATATTCTGAGGGAAAAAAAGAATGATTGCTCTGCAGTAAAACTGCAGATGATTATTTTTCTGGGTTGTTCTCCAAACAACCTCGGACACCCACAGACAAGCAACACAGTTGATGTCTGGATAGAATATCTCAGCTGTATCCAATGAATGTCAATGACAAGTGTTCCTTTTGGCTAACACTGACATGTATCCATTGGAAAAGTAATTAAGAAGAGCCAACAAAAAGCCTCAATAATTTTTGCACTGCTTTCGATTCCACATTTATCGATTATTTTCTTCTCTTCTGCTAATATTGGTGTCATAGAAGATTCCTGTTTAATCAAATAATCTTCTCATCACATACTGTTTCGATTCCAATTGATTTGCAATTTGGCCTTACCTGAGATCTGATATGCATGGTAGATGTCATTTTTTCATCATGAGAATTATTAAGACCACTGCTCAACAATAAGCTACTGCTGTCTAATAGTTTATTGCAGAGTTTTTAAACTTGATGCCTTCAGGAAACCTGTTCAGTGTCTGCCACCAGAAGATTCTGGGTGTATGTTCTGGAAGTTATGTTCATTTCATCTGGTGTAACATTAGGTTTTATTGTGCATTCTCTGCAGTTACATAGAGAGAAAAATAAGACATAGAGATACCTGTCCTTCTCTTTCATTAATAACTCTCCCCACTTTTCCATCCAAAAAGGATCCAACTGGACCTCTGCCCCCAAAGAAACCACGTGGGCGGCCAAAGGGAAGCAAGAAGAGGAGTGCTGATTGTGGACAGGTGGTAAGAACAATCAGATTGGCCTACTCTACTCCAATCTTCTGTACTTTCTGATAGAGAAAAGGGACTGATAGGTCTTTGGACCCGGAAACAAAGAACTGAAATCGAATATACAAGTATTTGTATATAAATCATATAATTTAAAAGTTTCCCTTTATTACATGCCAGATTTTCTGTTTGTTTTTTTTCTGGTGCCTTTGAATCAGTTTTTGATTCCTGGCAATTACCTGGAGTAGCCTCTGTGGTTTCTTGACTAGGTTTTTCAGAAGTGGTTTGTGCTTGCCTCCTGTTTAGCATTGAGAGAGAGAGAGAGTGACTTTGCACCTAAGGAAGGACTAGATCTCATGATCTCTCACTTTCTAGCCTAATGCCTTAACCACTACACCAAACTGGCTTCATATGACAGCACTATTGCTTTAAATATAACTCACTGACCATCTATCTATCATTCTCCACAGTTATACTTTGCCCATTTCTTCTAATTATTCCTTTTCTGGACAGTAGACCTTTTCGGTCTAATGTCACATATTGTCCTTTGCTATTGAGAACATCACTTTTCAGTTGAACAGTGATTGTTTTGTACTCTGATTCCAACAGTGATGATGACTGCTACTATCAATTTTGACATCTTCTACTTGTTTCTTCTACTTTATCTCCTATATCTCTTTCATCACATGGCATTGCCACTGCTACAGCTCCTTTACGTTAGGATTCTTTTCAGACATTGTGAGACTTTCAAAGAGTTACTCGACTAACGCATCCAGTAATCATTATTAATATTAATAATTGATTAAAGTATGCCATCTGACTTCCAACAATTCTGGGTGGCTCACAACAATCAAGACAAATTAGACAAATGGCAAGACCAGGAGACCAGATGGAGTCTGTCTCACCAAAGGCCTGGGTGAAGAAGCCAGGTCTTCACAGATGTTTTCAACAAACAGCCAAATGGGGACCATCCAGATCCCAGTAGTACCTAGACCACCACCATCAAGCCAGATAAATTAGGAATCTCTCTGGACATTAAAATATGTTGAAGAATTCTTTCTGAAAACACTCTTGCTTTCAGAAGACAACTCATCAGATAACTTTTCCCATTACTGTTCCCAACCAATGGAATGTATATACTGTGTTGTGGTTGTGGTTGTTGTTATTGGCTGCTACTATCTCTATCTTTGATATTATTTTATCTTTATACTCAAAAGAGATATAAACATCCACTGGGACCCACTGACAGAGAAGGACAACTAAGTCATTGTGCTTTTCAAACCTGGACTAGCCCAGCTTTCTTTCATATTCATTCATTTCTCAGCTTCAAATTGCCAATACATTTTTGGTAGTGATCTTTCTTTTTTTTTCTTTTAGCCCTAATGGGTTGATTTTGGTCACCAGATACAAATTTTTCTTCTACTGTCTTTTCAAAATTCCTTTTCCTTTCCTGAATCATTAGACAATACCTATCAAGAAGATAATAATTAGAGTATAATGTATTGATTGTGAAGAGTACATATTGCCTAAGGGACATGCTGTTTTTTTGTTTTTGTTGTTTTGTTGTTGTTGTTCTATATTACAGGGGCACATCTCTACTGCAAAAAAGCCCAGGGGAAGGCCACGAAAGTGGGTGAGTGAATAGAATCAAAACTGTGGCATGCTTTCTTTTTCTTCTTAAGTAGCAGCTCATCTTTCAATATGTGTAATTTCTTTCCAGGATTGAGGGTGTTCTCTGTTTCTCAGTAATAGAATAAAGGTTGAACTTTATAAAGTCAAGAGTGTAGCCCATGGGTGTCAAACTCAATTTCATTGAGGGCCGCATCAGGGTTGTGTTTGACCTCGGAGGGCCGGGGGTGGGGGTGGCTGGGGTGGCATGGCCATGGTTTTGGGGGGCACTTGTAGTGGCCAAGTGATAAGGCAGGATTTCCCTGAGACCCTCCCTCATTCTCATTACAATCTCCTTCCTCCCTCCCTCCCTCCCTCCCTTCCTTTTCTTCTTTTTCTTTCCCTCTTCCCTCTTCATTCTCCTTTCTTCTTCCTTCCCCTCTTTCCTTATTTTTCCTTCCTTGCTCTCTTCCCATCTTTTTCTTTGTCTTTCCCTTTCTCCTTATCTGTCCCTTTTTGCATGCTCAAATGCAAAAGAGGAAACATTTCTCCTTTTGTTTTTAGTTTGTTTTGATAGCCCTCTGCCAGCTAAAATTGAGCTCGGGGGGAGGTGCATGCGGGGCCCCCCGCACCCCATTTTTGGCCACAATGAATGGCCTCCTGCAGCCCTCTGCCAGCAAAAATGCAGCTCGAGGGAGGCGCGCGCAGCCCTACTGAGCTCCGTTTTTGCTGGCAGAGGCACCGAAGGCTGGTCCTTTGCTGTTTTCAGTCCAGTCCTGAGGGCAGATCCTGCCCACAGGTCTTGAGTTTGACACCCCTGGTGTAGCCTCAATAAAAATAAAATAGAATTGTGGCTTCAATTAAAACTAATTAATATTAGTATTATTCTATTATTCTTCAGTTATTTGTTATTTTTTTTTCCTCTCACAATAAAAATTACATTTTGGTAATAACTTTTGGCAGTCCCTGGGGTTTGCACCAAGGCTTGGAGAGCTAAGTTACATTCTAGGGTTTCAGAGTCTAAAGAAACTTTAAACATGATTGTACTACCCTGCTTCCCCCAAAATAAGATATCCCCTGATAACAAGCCCAATTGGGCTTTTGAGCGCATGGCAATAAGGCCAAGCGCCTATTTCAGGGTTAAAAAAAATATAAGACAGTGTCTTATTTTCAGGGAAACACAGTAGTCTCTCTCATATTTCTGCAGTAAAGTTTGGGGGAAAAAATCTATCTGGGGAGCAGGCAAGTTGTAAGGCAAATGAACAAATACACTATTATTTTGGCTTTTCAGAACATTTCCAATATATTTGTGTTATTAATGTATTCACTAGATTTATAGCCTGATTTTCCTCTAGGACAGGTTTTTTTTTTCAAATTTAGCACCTTCCAGGTATGTGGACTTCATTTCCCAGTATTCATAGCAATCATAATGCTTGCTGGAGAATTCTGGGAGGGGCAGTCCTCACATCCAGAGGGTCTCCAAAGTGGGTAAATCTGCTCTAGGCATTTAAGACAGAATAAGTACTATTTTCTCCTTCGCCCGACAACAGTAATTCTGTGGTGAAAAATTGGGCTGACAGACTTGCTTATCATAAAGAGGATTTCCAGATTTTCAAGTCATTGCTCATAAAAAGGATGAAGAATATTTTCATTACCAACTAGAAAAATGCTCTGATTCCTTAAGACAAGCCACTTTCCTGCTGATGCACAAATTACCAGCTATGAAAAAATTATGTTTTCATCTGTCTAGAGAAAGCATAGGTAACCTGTGACTTATGGGATGATGCCTCCAGTTTTACTGCTCCATATTTTGTATCTCAGAATCTTCCAACTATATATCAGGGATTTTCAGTGATTCAATCGTTCCTTCCTTCCTCCAATTTTCCTTTCCTTTCCTTTCTTTGATTTTAATGACTTATAAATTCTAAAGAAGATTATTAAACTTCTGGAAGAGAACCCAAAGGTGCTTTTTCAAAAGTCAAGTGGACTTTCTTTGTTTTTCCTTGAAGATATTTCGCTTCTCATCCAAGAAGCTTCTTCAGTTTGGACACTCTTTTGAAAAAGCACCTTTGGGACAACCATGACCTGAATGACTGAGAATCTCCATAGATATTTTGGGGAAAAAACTAATTATTCCCAAATTAGCTCTTCCTCCAAAAAAAAAAAAAAAACAGTCCTGCTCCCCAAAGAGATTTTCTGTCGCTGTCAGGCCTACTATGGAAGTGGGGCAATGGTGGGTTCCCCCCGGTTTGCACCGGCTCTATAGAAACGGTAGTAAAACCGGTGGGAGGCTCCGCCCACCGACCCCAATGTCATCAGAATGCTTCTGCGCTCGGCCCCACTGCGAACCAGTAGTAAAGGTAAGTAGAACCCACCCCTGAAGTGGTGTAGTGATTTTCCAGCCCACAACCACAAAAACATTGGCCATTCATCTCAGCTTTTATAACTGACAGTTAAATGTAGGTCTTCAGTGTGTGACAGCAGAGCAAAGTAACAATGGGTTTGATCATGGCAGAAGTTAGAAATATCTACCGTAAACACAGAAAAAGAAAAAACATTTTCTTAAATCCTCTCCAATTTTTGTTTTAAAAAGCTCCACTTTTAACTTATAAAATCAAAGGCAGCGAAGGAATAACTCTAGATAAAGCAGGATATAGTCACATTGCAATTCACAGCAAGAAATAAGCTCCACTAAACACAACACAACTTATTCCCATGTAAACATGTCAAGAATTATATGTCAAGCAGGTCTTTTATCAATTAATATCAGTCTTTCATCTCTAATAACTTTTAATCTTTTCTCTTTGGGGCTTTTTGAAAGTCAGTCTATATTTGCATACAAAGACAAGCGATGGTTCCAGAGTGAAGGTTCTGTTATCTTTTTATAGTCATGCCTTTTTATATTTCTTTCAAGGGAACTGTTTATAGATTGGTTGATTGCAATAGCTTGCAGAAGGAGATCGCTTATCAAAGCAGAAACACAATGTCAAAAGACTAAATGTTTCTCTATTTAAAATATTTCTTTCTAAAGTATTTCTATCCCAGATTTTCAGAGTGGTCTCAGTAAAATGTTGTTTAAATGTTGTTTAACCTCCTCCTTTCTCAAAAAAACAAAGCTGCATAATAAAAACAGGAGGCTGCGTGCTTTTTTTTTACTAAGGATCTCAAGTAGTATGTTCAAAACTGTTTCAGTGGCCAACTGTATGACACCTGCTGCCACGGGCTGGCCTGTGGTTAAACTGCCAACAGCACAGAGGGGAGCAGAAGTCTCAGTCATGATTCACACCACAAAGCTCTGCTTAGTACATCTGGTGCGGGGCAGGAGAGCATGTGGGATCTGAAGCAGAAGGAATGGTCTGCGATAGTTAAGAGACCAGCTTTTTTTCCAGTGACCCAGCATCAATTAAGCAGTGGCCCAAGCTGGAGTCTTTTCAGAAAGGAGGAAAGGACAAGGCATAAAGAGAACTGGATTTGCAGATGTGTCTGCTCCATGCTCAAAGCACACCCTTTAGTTCTAAAATGCCAAGTGCAAGTTGCAGCTCTTAAGCTGTCAAAGGGGCATCAATAATCAGTGTCACCTTCAAAGTTGCTATGTGCGGCTCTCCTGCCATGTCCCCAATTAGCTTTGTTGGCTCACTGCCATGGAGGACAAAAGAGACATCTGAATGCATTAGTACACAAAAGCCTTTCAAGTGTCCTCCCACACCATTGCCATTAGATAAAAGAACGTGTTGGTTTTCAAAGAGTGCATGGGGGTTCAGGGGAGAGATGCAAGAAGGTAAATTGAAGAAAGGATTCTTACGCTTCTACCTACAGCGTATATGTAAATCTTTATGAAACTCAATAGGGTTTATTTTCATATGATTGCTCAAGAAGACATTTTGGAGCCTCTAGAACTCAGAAGGCATCGTACATCAAAGAACCTGTTCTATAACGTTATAGAAGTTATAGAACTTATCACGGATATAGCAGTTATATCTGTGCTATAAAGTTCTACTTCACAAAAAGTTCTAGAACTCTAGATTTCCCTTTCCAGCAAAGCCTTGTCCAGCTCTTCCAGGGTAAGAATGAAGATTGCTAAACTATCATGCCAAAGTGCTTCTGTAAACTGCTGAAACCTCTATAGAAAGGGGATTTTCTCGGTGAGTGACAAAGACAGAGCAAGCATTTTTTAAAATAAATACCAATATGCAAGAGGGTTCTTTTGTGTTACATTTTTCATATAAAATGATATAGCTTCTGCACATGTGATAGACTATCAGTGTGTTTTTGGTATGATGTTGACTCAAACTCTCATATTCTTGCTCTAATGTGTCCAATCTGTGGCCCATGGGCCGCATGCAGCACTGGACAGCCAGTAATGCAGCCCCACAAGAGCATAAACTTTTAACATTTTAATGTGATTTATATACGTTAACCATATTATCTATTTTATATGCGGCCCAAGACAATTCCTCTTCACTCAATGTGGCCCAGGCAAACCAAAAGGTTGGGCACCCATGCTCTAATCCATGCTGGCTGAAAGTGAGAAAATTTGAAATCAAAGATATCTGGTCTTTGAAATCAAAGATGTCTGCCTTTCACCAACAATCAGAGCTTGTTTCTAGCCCCAAAGGTGCTTTTTCAAGAGGCAACTGGACTTTCTTGTTTTGTTTTGTTGTTGTTGTTGTTTATTTCTAGCCTTCTTGAAACTCCTTGTTATTAGCCCATGGAGGGGAGAATACACTTTTTCATTGAGCTCTAAAATCAGATCTGCACAAAGGTGAAACCCAATGAAACCTTTGCTTTTGTTTGTATGTATATAACAAGAAGGATCAGTTTCTTTCTTTCGTTTTTAAATAGCTTTTATTAAGCAGTTTTCTTCATTTTATATCACAATTTCGATCTTTACAGTGCTCCGGTATCAGTATATCTCCTAAGTACATGTAAATTATTTTTATTATTCTTCCTTTCCTTTTGTGTACATATCTATTCTATATAATGCATCATTATTGCAAGTACATACCTATATATGTTACTCTTTATTGTCACACCTTAATTTACTTTTACATTCTTTTTCTTCGCTTCTATGCTCTAACCAGTTATACCATGTGTCCCAAATCAAATAGTATTCCATTTCATCTTTTTCTTTTATTTCCATTGTTAGCCTGTCCATCTCCGACATTCTAACACTTTTTTATCGCCATTTCATCAGAGGGAGTACTATCATTTTTCCAGTATTGTGCGTAGATGATTCTAGCTGCTGTTATTATGTGTAATATGATATACTGAGTTTTTTTATTATAATTTCCCCTTAATATACCTAATAAGAATAGTTCTGGTATCAGATCTATTTGTTGTTTAGTAATTTCCTCTAGCCAGTTTCTTATCTTTGACCAATATTTCCTTGCATCTGGGCATAGCCACCACATGTGGTAATATGTTCCATGCCTCCTTTTACATTTTCAGCATTCCGCTGGTCAATCTGGCTGGGGGCAAATGCCAATGATAAAACATTTTTTATATATTTTCTTTGTATGCTGCTGACATTGTCACTACAAGAAGGATCAGTTTCTTATTATATCATGAAAATTTTGTAAAGGTTTAGGAAATACTAAGCAATAATATGTTTAGCAAGTGAACAAAAGGGAAAAAAATGCATAAATATATTTTCAAATATACAGTATTTTCCCCAAGTGAGAATAAGGGAAAGAAACATATGAAACTTTGGCTATGTATAGATGTAAGGTAAAAAAAGAAAAATATCACTTCTATAAGTGATATAGAACCTATAATATAGGTTATCTGGTTTGAGGATCATTTAAGAAACATTTCATAAAGCCTGTTCAATAGTATCACCTTGAAGGAGGATGTTCATGTTGTTTATACTAGCAAAAATTTATACTGTAATTCCCTTACAGCTTTTTGTCCCTGAGGAAGAATATCACAAAACTGAAGTCGAAGGGGAAAGCAATCCAGGTTTTAACACATGCCCTGTCACAGAAGGTGTGTAATTCATTCGTTTAGTCAATCTTTTGTCTATTTAGTACAGATATTTTGTGTTGCTTCACTCACCATTCTAAGCAGTTCACAGTAGCAATATAATCCATGAAACCATGACCACACAATCATAATATTTAATTATCACAATACTGTACTTATAAAACCATTGTTACATACACACACACAAATATATTATATATTTGTGCCGATCATGCTTTCCTTGCACAAGCATGAAGCTGAAGACACCGGAACGTTATGTTGTATTTAAGATGGTGGATCTTCTGTCTGGGGGTTGTTTTTTTCCCAGAATCTGTGCTTTTTACTATATCCATTCTTTCTCAGCTCAGGTTACATCACCGGATGTACAGAAAAATTATGAGCAGATTTTTTAAGAATGCTCATCAACCCCCAAACATTTTTATATGAAAATAATTTAATAAATACTGCTTAACTAATAGTACTGCAAATAATAATAAGCACCTTAGGTACAATCCCAAAACAGCTACTTGAACATGATTGGCATTAAGTCAATCAATCAGTCAATTGCAAAAGGCAGCATTAATTAAAACAGCTTGCATCCTGTGACGATACCTTTAACACCATCAAATATCTGCATAACCCAAATCCTTGGGAAGGACTTGACAGGTGGATAAAAATGCTAAATCCAGTCCAAATATTTAGCTGATTGAGTGACCAATCAAACATAATCAACCCCTTGACTTGTCCCATCAACCCTTGTGAATCGATATTATTGACCCCATTGGGTGACCCGGATATACACCATCTTAACTTCCCAAAGAAAATATCTACAATGTGATAAATAAAATTAAAAATATAAATGGAGACATTGCAGGAAGAAGAAACAGCTCTTGCTTTGAATAGATTTGATTCTGAAATCCGGTTATAGAGCAGCTGGTGAAAGTACTCATTATCTTTACCCTCTTTGTTACCTTAGTCATGTTATAGATGGAATATGCTGATGACTGTCTAGCAGCCAAACATGGCCTTGTGTGTGTGTGTTTTTTAATAAGTCAGTGCAGATGGTACTTGATAAATTTGGAGGCGTTTAACCTCCACTTCCTCTCTGACTCCTTTTGTCATTACTTCTAAGGAGTATGGTGACATCAGCACAGCCACAGACTTCACTGTTGTGCCTCACATCCTGCCCAGATCTCTGCCAAATCAGTATCTCATGTACACCCTATATGCCACTCAAAACATTAGTAACATGTTGTGCTTTGCTCTTCTTTTCAGAAAATCATGCTCAAGTGTTCATGCGCATGTATGAGGACCCAGATTGTTGGGAGCAATATGCTGACTCTGTAAACCACTTAGAGAAGGCTGTAAAGCACTGTGAAGCCGTATATAAGTCTAAGTGCTATTGCTATAGATTAGTGATGGCAAACACACACGCGCACACACACAGAGACGCACACACACGACACCAAGTGCCGAAAAGGGAGCCCCAAGTGCTGAAAAGGGAGCACTTGCACGCGTGGCACTAAGTGCCAAAAAGAGAGTATGTGCGCTGGCCAGCAAGTCTTCCGGTTACTGCCGTGCATGCACATGTGCTGATCAGCTGGCCAGTGCACATGCTTACGACATAAAATGGAAGACCAGCCCTTCCGGTTTCCAGCACTGCCACAAGCACAAAGGCCAGCTGATTAGCATGTGCGCATGCACTCCAGAAACCCGGAAGAGGAACGGGCAAAGCTGCGGGTGCCAGGCGCGTGCCAGGCGACATGGCTCCGGGTGCCACTTCAGGCACACGTGCCATAGATTCACCATCACGGCTATAGATCAACTGCTACCTAGTGCCACCCATTATTTATTTTATTTTATTTTATTTTATTTTATTAGATTTCTATACCGCCCTTCTCCCGAAGGACTCAGGGCGGTGAACAGCCAAAGGATAAAACACAAGAATACAAAATTTAAAATAAGTTAAAACAGATTAAACAATTTGGCTCAATTTTAAAATATCCCATAATTAAACAAATTAAAATTAGTATTTAAAATTTAAATTTTAAAATTTTAAAAAGGAGAAGATTTAGGCCAGGCCAGCTTGATGGAATAAAAACGTTTTAAGCGCGCGGCGGAAGGTGCGCAGATCCGGGATCCTCCGTATCTCCGGGGGGAGCTCGTTCCAGACTGTAGGTGCCCCCACAGAGAAGGCTCTCCCCCTGGGGGCTGCCAGTCGACATTGTTTGGCCGACGGCACCCGGAGGAGCCCCTCTCTATGGGAGCGTACTGGTCGGTGGGAGGCTATTGGTGGTAGCAGGCGGTCCCGTAAATAGGGCCTTGGTAGTACAGGGGTTTAAGGCACCCTGTTATTAAGCTTATTAAGACCAGCTGCCTGCAATTACTGCAGGGTTCGAATCTCGCCAAGGCTCAAGATTGACTCAGCCTTCCATCCTTTCTAAGGTAGGTGAAATGAGGACCCAGTTTGTGGGGGCAATAAGATGACTTTGTATAAATATACAAAAGGATGAAGGCTATTGCTGAGCACATTGTAAGCCGCCCTGAGTCTTCGGAGAAGGGCGGCATATAAATCAAATGAAAAAAATAAATAAATAAATAAATTGAAACTGTGAAATAACTGATATTTCTTAGAAAATGTCTGCATGATGTATTACCCTTTAACCCCATTAACATTAATAAAATAAAATAAATTGAAAAATAAATTAATTGAAAAATAAATTGTAGGAAGGAAAAGAGAAAGGAAGCATTGATATATAGACATGGAATTCTACAAAATATGGAGCCAAGCCCAAAGAAGGATAAGGCTCAAATAGCTTTTTGACCAAGAATTTAAAGACAAGATTGGTGTGGTTTTTCTCCCACAAAAAGTGTTTGAGGAAAATATTTCAACTAAAGGGACTTGTTATTTTGAAAACAATCCATAATCCTGGATTTATGTTGGGAAATTTACAGTAGTTTTGGGAATATGCCACCCTTCTCACATAGACATAGCTGGTGAGAGGGGTGCATATAAAGTTCATAAGTAAATAGATGTCTCTCCTTGTTTCAGTTATCTGAATAAGACCAGTCATGTGGATCTCTGTCTGGTACTCTGACATTTTGTCTTTCACAATGATGTTTTGGCAATCCCTGTACTTCTCTAAACGTTTATAGAATTCCCTATGTTCAGAAAGAGAGCACCAACTTCCTACCCCAATAGAGTAGTTATAATGCTATGGTCCCATGACAGCAGATTGGGGAACTCTAGAGTATATATAAGAATCTCTTTCATGTACAAGTGTTCTTTATAGACAACAGTAAAAAAAAGAAAGTGAGCTCCAATTCACTCTTCATCTCATATTCTCTTTAGGGGCATCTACAAAAGGCTGTCACATGAAGAAGGGAGCCACAGAATTCAGGAGAACATTGAGTGAACAACAGTCTCCTTGTTGACGTGTCACTAGAGCAAAATGAATTAAACTCCTGGTCTGCCATGTGCAAAGGAAAGCCAAGGAAAGCCCCCTTCCCCATTTTTCTTTTGTACCTTTACCAATGAACTGCCTCTTGCAAAGCTCAGTCATTCACATTTGTAACAGCGGTCCTAACCCCCAAAAAGAGGGTTTAGATCTAATTAGCATTTGGAGGAAAATCGACCCGTTACGTGTTTTGAAAATCTTCATCGATTTGAGTCTTCTACCATTGGGAACATTAATTATTCTAGGATGCCAAGATCCTGATTTTAAGAAATGGGAAATATCTTCCTAACTAAACATGCTTACCAGTGGTGGGTTTCAATTTTTTTTACTACCGGTTCTGTGGGCGTGGCTTGGTGGGCATGGCATGGATTGGTGGGCGTGGCTTGGTGGGCGTGGCAGGGGAAGGTTACTGCAAAATCCCCATTTCCTCCCAATCAGCTGGGACTTGGGAGGCAGAGAATAGATGGGGGCGGGGCCAGTCAGAATTTTTACTACTGGTTCTCCGAACTACTCAAAATTTCTGCTACCGGTTTTCCAGAACTGGTCAGAACCTGCTGAAACCCACCTCTGATGCTTACTCAAAAAAATCCCACTTAGGGCAATACTTTTTAAAAGTAAGAGTGCTGAGTTTTGCGGCCTTGAATTACATTTATGCCAAGTTCACTTGAGAAACAGGACAGGTGCAGGACAACACACTCAATTTGGTTACTAGATTAATGTATGCATTCAGTATATTTAACTTATGGTTGAGCAAGTCATATAAAAATACTGCATTTGAACAATATGCCGAATATATTTGATTAATAAATATATCAACCATTCCCACTCAATCTCCTCACTAAGGTTAATATTAGATAACCTTAGCATGCTGTATACACTCAATAACTAGGCCTCTAACTGCCGTAATGAAGCAATTTTATGTTGCAACCAGGGTATCATAAACTAAGTTATCTTATTTTGGCCTAGGATGTTGTACATATCCATTGTGTATACTTAGTTTCTAGTCCAGCATGTTGCATAAACTGGAAAAATGGGTTTGTTGGTTAATTTTGTTTTGTGTATATATATCCCAAGGGATCTTTCAAACAATGGTGCCTCGGTGGTGCAGCGGACTAAAGTGCTGTTAAGTGCTAGCATTTAGCTGCCAGCTGCCTGCAATTAGCGCAAGTTCGAATCTCACTAGACTCAAGGTTGACTCAGCCTTCCATCCTTTCGAGGTAGGTAAATTGAGGACCCGGATTGTGGAGGCAATAAGCCAACTTTGTATAGAACAATACCGCTTTTGGGGGGGGGGCGAAAGCCCTAATAAGCAGGTATATACAAAAAAGTATGCAGGCTATTGCTATAATGCATTGTAAGCCGCCCTGAGTCTACGGAGAAGGGCGGCATATAAATTGGACTAATAAATAATAAATAAATCAATAATGGTGAAGTAATACTTGGGGGACAAAAGGAATTGTCTGCCAATCACATTACGTTATCACTATGTGCGGGCAATGGTGCACAACACCCTGTTCCAGTGGTGTTGCATCTGTTGTTGGGTTCTTAAAAAAAAAAAAAAAGCTTTTATGACCTTCAATTCATGCCAATGGATTGTTGCCTTGCAACAGTCTATACAGCAACAGTCTATACAACAACAGTTTTTGGCCAGGTTCTTGGCTTTCTTGACCTTCCAATTCCTGGAAATCCATTGCAACAGCCTATTGCTATGATTATGAAATGAGCCCAAAGGCATACAGTAGCTGCCAGCAGAAAAGCACTGAGGAGTTAAGACAGTGACGAACAGTTGCCACCGTGGTGGTCACAGAAGCATGGGAAAAGATTAATAACATGGGATCTTCTCTGCAAAGAGAAGAAAAGCAAAGACCTGGGCAACAGGACAGAGGAGACACTAAGTTCCTGTTCAGATAGTGAGCAATGACTGGCCAATCATTCTCTGAATCGGACAAATAGGGCAAGCCCTAGTGGGGTAAGGACCAAGTAGGTCTAGTGCTCCTTCGTAACGTCTAGACAAGCTGGGGAATTCTTTGTAGTTGGGGAATTTGGAGAGTTGAAGTCCACACATCCTAAAGTTGCCAAGTTTGAAAAAACCCTGCTCTCAACTAATAAAAACAGTATTTTTATTGTGTCCTGATGGGTAAATGGATTGTTAACAGACCAAAAAAAAAAAGCAAGCTCTGATTATCTTGGATACTTTTTTCAAGTGGATTCAGAAGAGAAGGAAAATGGAAAGGCTGCTTATTTAATAGAATCCTTATACTTACAAGATCTGAGGCTGTAATGGGAATGTCACTGCTATACAAACACACGTGTGTATATGTCTGAAAGAGAATGAGACAGTGACTGTGTGCCCACAAAGCATCTTTCCTGCTATGGTCTCTGGTCAAAGCGGCTGAGGATTTTCACATTATTTTAAGAGGAACTCTGGGAAGGTCCACAGTAAGTAGTAGCACGTAACTAACCTTGGATTGAGCTCAGAAACCAAAACAGAGTAAATCTCATTTATACTAAGATAAGAGACCATCAGGAAACCCCAAACTCTAGATTAGATTAGACAGGATGTTTCTTTTTTTTAATCATCCAGGAAGAAGACAATACAAATCATTCTGTATTGCCACCAACAAAACTGCATAGACATGTTCATGTAGTGATTAGGAGTTGAGTTCAATTTGATTTCAAGTCTCAGAACCTAAATGACCCTGTAGAGTACACCATTCACTTCTTGCAGAAACTGAAGCTGAAACCCAGGGTCAACATACTCCAGCCACTTGGGGCATCATTTACAGATGGGTTGAGGCTCTGGCAGAAACCATTCATGTGGTTTAAAGGCTGTCAGAGATCTCTAGTTCCAGAAGCAACTTCTGAAAGCAATCAAGCTTCAAATGTGCAAGTCTGGCTTGTATACACTGTACATAACTAGATCACTGCCAAACTATGCTTGTATTCTGCCTATTCTGTCTGGACAAACTGGAAGCTCTGAGGCAGGGGTGAAATCTACTTACCTTCCTTACCGGTTCGGAAGCACACGCACCGCCCGCCCGTGCACACCTTCTGTGCATGCGCAGAAGGTAAAAAAACATTACTTCCTGGTTAAAACCAGGAAGTAATGACACCCGGGTGGCGATCGCTACCGAATCGCCGAACCACGGGGAAAAATTGCTACCGGATCGGCCAATCCGGTCCGATTTGGGAGCATTTCACCCCTGCTCTCAGGCCTCGGACTGCATGCAGCTCAGAGGCATTACCTGTTCCAACCAGTTTCCGTGTACAGGTAGTCCTCGACTTACAACAGTTCGCTTAGTGACTGTTCAAAGTTACAACGGCACTGAAAAAAGTGGCTTATGACCATTGCAGTCTCCCCATGGTCACATGATTTATATTCCGATGCTTGACAACTGCTTCACATTTATGACAGTTGCAGTGTCCCGGAGTCATGTGATCCCCTTTGGCAGCCTTCTGACAAGCGAAATCAGTGGGAAAGCCAGATTCACTTAACAACCGGGTTACTAATTTAAGAACTGCAGTGATCCGCTTAACAAATGTGGCGAGAAAAGTCGTAAAATGGGTCAAAAACTCACTTAACAGATTTTTCACTTAGCAACATAAATCTTGGGCTCAATTGTGGCCATAAGTTCACACCTACCTGTAATTAACCCAACCTCTTAACTAAAGTGTCTTTTTTTGTTAAACATTTACTTTCAGATGTAAAGTGGTGTCAACTTTTATTCTAGATGACAAACAACTGAGATCAGTTATTTAGGAAATGCAGCTTCAATTCATTCCGTTTACACATATTGGACTGCTTATTTACATTTGTATGCTCTGATGACATTTTACTGGTGCAACAGTGGGCCACTTGGCTGTTAGGTACAAGATGCAGCAAGTAAGGGAATGAGACTGGAGGTGCTGTCTACATTTCAAAAAAGCAGCTGCAGCAGGGCAGGAACACTTCCCACCCCCAACTTCCTCAAAGATAGGCTCAGATCATCCATTCTCCCAAAAGGCTGTAAACATTTACAAGCCTAGAAATTTGAGAGAAGGTGGGCTTATTCATCCATTCCCCCTCCTCACAGTTTACTCACAAGCATCCACACCAGCATTCCAGGTATCTGGTGAGCTACACCCTGGTGTTTTTAGGAACAGGCAGATGTCTATAGGCAGCTTCACCCCACTTAGGTCCTTAGCCTACAAAAGTATGAGCGTGTATGAGAGAAAGGGAAGAATACCACAAACAGACAAGGAAGTAGGAAGTGATTACAGGCAAGCGAGACAGCTATCAGTCAACTGCCAGGGCTACAAACTACAGCAAAGAGCCCACTTCCTGGCTGGAGTTTGGCTTAGAGATTGACCTAGAGCAGGGCTGTCAAACTCCCAGCCCACGGGCCGGATGCATCACGTGCTGGCCACGCCCACACCCGGTTTAGCGAAGGGGAGGAAAGTCCCGATATGTCACGTGACGACATGAGTTTGATACCCCCGTCACTTAGAACTTGATGGAAACCAAAAGAGGAATAATGACATTGACGTAGCACCTAATCCCAACCAGTCCAATAACTTTTGGAGGGAGGCAAAGGTATATGTCACTTTAACGATTAAGGACTGAGTAATAAAGATCTATTGTTGTGATTACATCAATTTGCAAGGCTTAGAAGGAAGGAGTTAGCCCAGAGCAACATCCTGTTGCTAGGGAAGGTGTGTGCCACAATAAAGAGTTTCTGTACAGTTATCTGCTACACTGTGGTGCATCAGTTCTTGAAAAAGAAAGAACCTTCACTGTAAGATTGGATCTTCAAGTCTTCCAAGGCAGCTTCTTCCCTAGCTACTTTTCTTGAATTTTTAGTAAGATTGGAGTGCCAGTGCTCCTTCAAATATTGAACTAATATTTCCAATTTTTGTAAAAATCTGTCAGCCTGGCTGAGGGTAAGTCTTCAGGATTTGTTGCTCCCTAGAAGTCAGTGGCTTCTAAACTTGAGTTCCATCTTGAAGACAGCAGCCATAGACTATATATATAGGAAAGGTTAAGTGGTAATGACTAAATCATGAATCAATGGTTCTTATCCAATGTGTGCTATGCAAAGGAATGGTGCTGGAGAACTTTAGATCATCCAATACCTGTATTATTATTATTACTATTATTGTCATTGTGGACACTGAGTTCCAATAGCAAAATAGCAGGAGCATCATAAGTTCAAGATCTTGCCAGGCTTCATTCTTCCAGAGATGTGAAATTATAGACTATATAGCACTGAGATACTTATTTTCCAGATATTTGTCTTTTCTCCTTTAAAGGTATTGCTTTAGTGGCCATTTTCTGGCAGAGGATATCGAAAAAATTATGTGAAGCACTGCGGTTTAGGATTAGGTATTAAGAGTTTTGGATTTGGGGGATCAATATTCAACAGTTCCTGTGAGGAAAAAAAATTAGGAATAATGCAATATGCAACAATGTGGGCTCTTACAAGAGAGGCCTGTGAGTCTACTACCAAAAAATTGCACTGGATGACCCTTCACCCCAAGTCTTTGTATAATAAAAAGAAGATAAATTACCTTGGTTCAGTTTCTATTTCCCTTCTTTGCATCTCTTGGTATGTTATCTAGCCTCAAAATAGAACTTGCCTCTGTAACTAGTTTATAAATTGCACAAAACAAAAGAAAACCAAAAATATGAATTTGTTTCTTTAAACATCTGCACCTGTGAATGATTTACATGCACCATTTTATGCATCTTGCAGCTGAAGTTAAATAGATTGATGCTTTTATTTTTAAAATGGGAATGCTTTATCAGCATTCACATCCCAAGTTTTTCAGCTCAGCCAGAACTGAAGCCCTAACATTTGAAGAATGCTGGATGGTCTTCTGAAGTTGAACACTTTGAAATACAGGTGGCAGAAAGCAGTTAAGATAAGTGGCTTCATATATTCAAAAGATAACTGACTACAATAATGCAAGAGACACCAAGACCTGTTTCATCTGAGGATTGAAGACGGTTTTTGATAACTGATCCTCATATATTAAAAAAAAGATTATGCTTTGGGAAGTATTCTTTGATTTTATTGTTAATAAACCTGTATCTCCAATAGCACCTTTGGTTCCCAGTTCGCTTTAACTTTGTACTTTCCCACAAATGGTGATAAACAAGTTAGGATTCAGACTATTTGCATCCAGCAAATAGTTTATTTGCTAAACCAGCCAAGTTTTGACTGGTTTAACTATTAAAGGCATCATGCCATAGCATATTCCATCTTTCTTTGGCTTAAACAATCGGACTCCCCAAATGTTTGATGGAACCCAAAGTTCAACAACTGTACACTGGATGAGGAAGGTTTATAAAATGTGAACGAGGAGCAAAATGAGGAGAAGGCTTTCTGAAACTGACAGGAAAGTTTGCAATTAGTTCTTACCATTTAAAATTGTAAAATGTAATTGTGTCACCAAGATAAGGCAGCTTGCAAGTAGAATTGCATGTTCTTTGTATATCCATAGCAACCTTCCCCAATGCAATGCCCTCTGGAACTTTTCCACCTGGCAGGGCTAATATTTTTGTACTAAAGTGGGCTCATCAATTTGTTCTCATTTTTCTCTCCCAGGAAGCAATGGAAACAGAAAAAGATCCCAACTCATTTTTGCTTGTTGTGGCCTACTGGGATCAGAATGTCTTTCTCACTTTTAGGGTAAAAATAAAGCAGTGTATCGATTTCCAGATGCTGTTGCACAACAATCCCTATTGACCATGCTGTTTAGGACTGAGGGGATTAGAATTTCTAGAGAGGTACTTGTTGCCCCTCTGGTAGTACCACTAAGGCATAGGGCAGGGATGTCAAACTCGCGGGCCGGATGCGTCATGCACTGGCCATGCCCACCCCCAGTTTAGGGAAGGGGGGAAAAAGTCATGATATGTCACGTGACAACAATGTGACACTGCAAGTTTGATACCCCTGGCATGGGGGAAAGGAAGGAAGTGCTTTTCTGCTTAGCTTGTGACATTCTGCTGCATGTCAAGGTTTTCAATGTTATGAAAAGACAATTATGCCCCAGACAAAACAATTGTGTCCTCTTTCTGAGTTAACGTTGGTAGGATCGAGCAAAATGAAGGGGCGGATGTCCAATAAAATTCTTGATTTCACATAAATACTTTAATAACATCTCAAATACAAGAACATATTGTCACAGTTATCCGAGTACATGTTAGAAAGGGCTATTGCATTAGAATACTGTGGTAGAAGAACCCTGACAAAATCTCTGCATTCCTCTCTTAGTCATCAGCGATACAACACAATCAGAGAGGCTGCACCACAGAATGAAGTCTGCTGAGCAAAGGGAACAGCCCTTTCTCTACTCATATTCATTCATACGGACTTACTGAATCATACAGAAATAATCCTTGGTTCAAAAGTGCAAGTTTGTACCAAATACTTAGTAAATTCATCATTCAGCCTCTATGATTTAAAGTGTCTGAGAACTGAAGGATTTCCATTAATGGCACTTCATTGAACATCTTGCTGCATTTACAAAAACATATTTTCCAGTCTTGTTTTTTTTTTTTTTTTTTTTTGCATATTTTGCATTGCTAATGATAACAATTGAAAGAGAGAGACAATGCTGCCACTGAGAAACAGAAACCAGAAGGAAATAAACCTGATATTATTTAGCAGGGGCAGCATTGCAAAGTACAGTGCAGCTTTTGGCAATCTGGAGCACATCAATTATTTTGGGGCAGAAACTCCCACAATTTCCAGGGAGTCGTATATTCCACCGTATCTGACAGCTGTAAGTTTAGAGATGGCTGGCAAGAGAGCTTCTAAAGAATTGGCTTAGCTATTGCCTGTAAAGAAACTGGCCAAAAGTTTCATGTGCAATATCAGCAATCAACTAACTGGAATGCAAACTAAAAGGTCTCAAAATGGCAGGATCTAGTGCAGGTATGCGTGATGGACCAGCAACTGCACTGTGGTCAGTGGAGCAAAATTACGGCTGCCCAAAATAAGGATTGCTCCTTTGATATACTTTTTTTTACCAGAAGCTTCTCTAGAACAGTGTTGAGGAACCACAATCTCCTCAGACATTTAGATTGACATACTCATCAGCCCAAGCCAATGGCCAGGGACAAAGGGAACTAGAATCCACTAATGCCTAGAAGTTCACAATTTCCCCAGGCATTTTCTGCTGAATTGCACAAAGACTGAGTTCTGGCTTATTGATTTGCGTTGTGGAAACTGAATTCATGTCAATTGAGGATCGTAGATTCATCTGGGCTCTTTGTAGTCATTTGAATTTTTTTTTAAAGAATAAACAGTAGTGGGACAAAAGAAATTGTTACTTATATCTGTGCAATTGCTCTTAAAGAACTCATTTTGACTAAGGAAGGTTTTATCACAACCTCCTCCTTATGGGTGATCACTATCTTTCAAGGGGAGGAGACCTGGGAGAGGAGGAGGAGCTAACTTGGTTATGAGCAGGGTTGAAATGCTTCCAGTTTGGACCGGATCACCTGATCCGGTAGCGATGGCAGCAGGTGGTTTGGAGAACCGGTAGCAAAAATCCCTGCACGCCCCCACCCCATGCCCAGCTGAGCAGCGCAATCATCAGAGGCATTTTTTTTTTACTTTTAAAAGCATTTTTTCTACAACCTCTTCAGCCCCGAAAAAATGCTTTTAAAAGTAAAAAAAAAAAGCCTCTGATGATCGTGTGGCTCAACTGGGATCATCAGAGGCTTTTAAAAGCATTTTTTCTACAACCTCCTGGGCCGAAGAGGTTGTAAAAAAGATGCTTTTAAAAGCCTCTGACGATCCCAGCTGAGTTGCCAGATCATCAGAGGCTTTTAAAAGCATTTTTTTCTACAACCTCTTCAGCCGAAGAGGTTGTAGAAAAAATGCTTTTAAAAGAAAAAAAAAAGTTGGCCACACCCACCCAGTCACATTACCCACCACCACCAAGCCACACCCACAGAACCGGTAGTAACAAATTTTACATTTCACCACTGGTTAAGAGGTATATTTTTGTGGAGTTAATCACTGTATTAACATAGACATCCACATGTACGGTATAATAAACGTCTACAGAATTGCTCTGTGGTTGCAGAGAAAATAACTTCTGTCAAAATGCATGCACAGAAAAAAAAAATTAGGTGACAGGACAGTGATAGCATTGATATATAGAGATACCCGCACCACATATATCATGCCATTAACGCATTGATGTCACAGCCTAAAGTTATGCATGCATCATACAGATCTGGTCTTGTGTGATTTACAGTTTCCCACACAATTCAAGGAAGAGCTGGATTGAGAAACATTTTTAAAATGTTCCTTTTGAAAAGAGATGGCAGATAGTTTACTATCTTGAGAACACTAAAAAGAACAGCCAGCAAAACACACAAGAGACACACAGACATATTGTATCACCGCATGAAATCCCATTTGTACTTAATCTGCACTTTCTTCTGCCTTGATTAACAGCGGACAAATGTAAGCATTCTGCCAGGGGGTTGTGGTTGGGTTCCAAAATCTGTTGGAAAGGGTGTGAGTGCCCACAAACACTCTTCTTCATACTGTTTTTCATTTACCTCTTGTAGCTGGAACCCATTATTGTGGCCTGCTATCCTTACTGATTTTTCACCAGGTGGTTTCTTTTAGCAACTGCCAAAGCAAATGGCTTTATATCACGCATATAACCCCTACCCGGGCTCTGAAAGACAAGACACTCCAAAGCATCCGTGATCCAATTCTTTGCAAGGAGGGGAAGGGGGAATGAGCTCCCCCCCTTCTCCTTTTCACTGAAACTACAATAGATAAACATGCATAGATATTTAACATTAGTTTTCACAGCAGGAATGGTTAACAGGAGGGGAAGTTGACTTGCTAGATCTGAAATTTTGTATTTTTCTTTGTACACTGAACACATAATTAGGCTGTAACTGTTCACCCAGCTTTCCAATTTTTCATCAGGAATTATTTTCTCTACAGTGATTTCTTGTGTGCCCTAGCTTTCTTTTTATTGATTTGTTGTAGCCCTTTATTGTAATGGCTCTTTTGTTTGCTTTTCTGGACAAAGCAATAGAAAGATAGGATAGAAATCCAATGTAAACATAAATATAAGAGGCAGCTTCAGAAACAGGCAGAGTCGCCATCATGCCACAAAGCAAAATATAACACAGAGGCTGGCTGCTCTTGCAGATTTCTGAGGATCTATGCCATCACTGGGGTTTAGATAAATGTAAATAAAACTTGTTCCCAACTGTTTTCGCTAATCCATAAACAAAAAACAAAGCTTTTTTTTTAACAAGGGCCTTTGCTTAGCACAGGCCTCTTGGCATCTGTGCAATTATCATTTGCTAGCCTTTCTTCCTTGCACCCAATTCCCAACTCTCCCTTCCTCCCATTTCCAAACTGGAACAAAACAAAATCCAAATTCTGTGCCCAAATCTCTTGTAAATGGTACGCTGCCCAGAGTCTCTTGTTGAACTGGGCAGCTACTGAACTCAAATAAATAAATTAAATAAATAAATATTCATTTTTAGTGACGGAAAGAAAATAAATTAGCTTAATAAATAAGTAACTCAGCACTCTACCCAGCTGCAAATGGGATAAGCAAAATGGTCTTAACCATAGGGATGGTATCCCAGTTTATCTAATAAACAAATAAGCTAGGTAGGCAGATGCATTTTTCCTTTAAATTGTAAAATAAGTGTGTTATCTCCATTTAGAACTGCTCTTCTTGTCAAGATTAAAAAGTGTTGAGACTTTCCCATGGATTTCAAATGAGTTATTAGCCCATTCAATATGGAGATGTGGGGATTTCTGATTATTCAATATATGCAAGAACGTGCATATATAACACTATTTTTCCAAATATGACTTCATTTCTTTTTTTTTTCTTTTTTTTCATTTCATTTCAGCCAATGCTGACTGGAGTGAATCATCTCAGGATTGACAAGTTAGTTTCATTGTTCTTATTTCTAAGATTCTTCCCCTATAATAAGAATTAGTGTTAGAAGAGGTGATCCTTATACCCTGTGAAGCTTACCTGCCTCCGTAAGACACAGAGGTTACTATTAGCAGTGCCTTTATTCCAGGTTATCCCTCCTCAAAGAACCAGCTAGTAGAACACCTTACATTGTAGAAATCTAATGGAAAGACAACAGCTAACTCTTATGATTATACTGAAGGGCAGCTTTTACTGCACCAGAGAACATGAGATGGGATGACATGATATATGTTGACAACTTCATACATTCCAGGTTCCTAGGAGTTAAACCAACAGGATATTTTGGGTCTACTGCATAGTATGGCCTAGCTGAATCTGCAGTCTCAAACTCTAGATACCTTTGTCAATATCTCAGGGAAGGAAGGCCTTAGGAATTGATGCTATTATTTCCAAAGCCTGTTACTATATTCATTCCAATCATTGTATCTATAAATAACCTCTCATCTTCTATCATACATTACTTGGTACCTGCAACATTGCCAATCAAACTCTGCAGCATGGGGCAGTTTCTTGGCAACAGGAGCACTGGCAGTCTTGGTTCTTGGCCTCTTTCCCCCAGCGAGAATTGATAATCACTACCCACAGTAGCTTGCTAACTGGCTGGTGTCATCTTCCTGTATTCTTCATGCACTGATGGCATTCGCAACATCTGTGAACACAAGACGACTGGGTCTCTGGAGAACGCCTTGGTTTGCCTACAACAAGAGCAACAAAAAAAGAAAAAACGGGGAGGGAGAGAAAAACAGATTTGCAAGAAATGCATTAATATTTCATTTTCATACGATTCTCCCAAGATTGCCAAGTATTGCACATTAATAAACATACCACTACTGGATTGAAAGAAATAAAACATGGGAATAAAAGTCCTGTTGACGAAAATATATGCTATATTTTTATAAAGATGCATTTTAGCATTCTGTAAGTACAGATATTTTTCAAATTATGAGCACTTGTTCAATTACAGCGACTGTTCAATTACAGCAATGCTAAATAAGAAGGATTTACACAGGTCTGCTCTGTAGTACCTGCCCACAGCATTCACCCATCCACCCACCTGCATTCCGTAGCACCTTCCCACGGCAACCACCCACCCAGCTACCCACACTCTAACTCCTCCCTGCAACATCCGCCTGTCCTACTACTCATCCCCCCATTTATTAATTCTCACCTGCTGGCCTGCTCGTCTGGGATTGCTGCTTCTTCCCACATTGTGATCATGTGAGGTCCTTGCTTAATGATCCTCATAGTCCTGGGATTATGATGGCAACTGGGATTGCCAGGATTGTCATCGCCAAACAATGTGGTCATGTGATGTCACACTTTACAACCACATCACTTAGATAGTATCCCAATTGCCATTGTAACCCAAGGACCCCCTGTAGTAATAAAAAAACAACCTGCAACTCATCTTTCATACCTTTAGCAAGAAGGAATCATACTAACAAATGTTAAGGAGCTATTGATAACTGTTAAATTTCATATATTTATACGAATCAGTAACTGAGGGTTTTCTGTAAATAAAGCTCTAAATGTTTTGGAGCTTTAGAACAAAGGATAAGGAAGGGAAATAAAGAGAGAGAGCAAGAATGTTACATAGAGATTTCCAGAAGAAGGCCTATTTACATTATAGTATGACTCTCCATAGAGGTCCCAGAATCTGGTAACACTGACATCTGTATTATTTATTATATATTTATATATTATAATAAACTATTGTCTATTTCCTAATGAGGTGCAGCTCTGTTTTCTTATCTCCATTCTTCTTTTAGAAGTGGCCTAGAGGTGGAGCTCTTGCCTCACAATCAGGAGGTTGTGAGTTCCATCCTAGGTAGAGGCAGATGTAGGATCTCCTGCTTGGGCAGGGAGTTGGACTAGATGACCTGCAAGGTCCCTTCCAACTTTGTTAATCTGTTACCAATAGGAACAGGACTCAATCCCTTTATATCACAACAGCATTTCACAAGAAATAACAGGGAGCAGTTGTTTTTGACTCCAAGGCTACTCAAGGCAAAGTTTTGTTCCAAAGTGTAGTCCTCCAATATTTGCTCTTTGGAACCACTGAGGAATCTATGGCAGTCCAGATGTTGCAAACCTTCAACTCTTAGCATCTCATAGCTTGGTCACACCAGAGAGGTCTCCTGGAAGTTGGAGTTCAGCAACATCTGGATGTTCATCAAACATGTTCTAATGGAAATTAATTGAGCTTCTGTCTTTCTGTTACTGCCTTCCCATTTCTGCCAGAAATCTTCCCAGGATATCCACTCTTGAAAGTATAATTGTTGTGTGTAATGAGTAGGACATTTCCAATTTCTTCTGCTCTCAGAAAAATATATCTACTGAATGAAAGAAGTTCCTTGAAACATAAACATTTCAAGGTTTGTAGGTGTGAGATCAATTATTTAGATTATATTACTATATTTCATATTTTAATTGAGAAAAGAAACCTAATTCTAAAACTGGCAATATGAGAATAGCTATAGCTTCAAGTCCAGGAGAGAAAATCTCACCATCATCTAGCCTACAAGTATCCTCTCAAACTAGTCTTCCAGGTGTATAGGTTTTCAATTCTCATAATTTCAGCCTACTGGGAACGGCTCAATGCTCATACAGGCAGAGAGATTTATGAAAGCTGAAATTCAACATATCTGATAATACAATATTGCAACATTTTTTTCAGGCCGAGGGCCACACTTGTTCTTTAAATAGTTCTTCAGGGGCTGATTTGAAAAGTGAATGGAAGGAAGGGTCGGGAAAAAAAAACTAGAATTTAATTTGATTTGTATTTGAACAATTACAATCAAATATCTGGCTACTCTCCAGTCACGTGTTTACTAATTGTTTCTTTCTATCATATTATAAATTACAATTTCATCATAAATAAAATCTTATTAAGACCGTACCTGGAATGCAGCATCCAGTTTTGGTCATCACATTAAAAAAAGATGGAAAAAGAGCAACTAAGATGATTAAAATCCTGGAGACTAAAACATATGAAGAACAGATGCAGTATTCAGAATATCTAGTCTAGAGAAAAAAAGGACTAGGGGTGACTTGATAGCAGTATTCCAGTATTTGAGGGGCTGCCACGAACAGGGGTCAACTTATTTTTCAAAGCACCAGAAGGCACAACAAGAAACAATGGATGGAAACTAATCAAGGAGAGAAGCAACCTGGAATTAAGGAGAAACTTCCTAACAGTGAAAACAATTAACTAGTGGAACAGCTTGTCTTTAGAAGTTGTGGGTGCTTCATCACCAGAGGTTTTTAAGAAGAAACTGGGCAGTCACTTGTCTCAAATTGTATAGGGTCTCCCGCTTGAGCAGGGGGTAGACTAGAAGACCTCCAAGGTCCCTTCCAGCTCTATTCCAATTGATTTTGGCAGTATTTGGGGTCACACATAAATCTCCGGATTTGAGAGTAGGAGAAATTGCCTTAGAGGTTTCATTGATGGGGAGAAAAATGTATTACCTTGCTTTGGGCAGCCTGAACAGAAGCAGCATCTCTGCCATGCTCCAGCAGTTCTTGCTCTAGCTCATCTTGTTCTTCTGCAGGATCAAAATTGTACATGGGCATGAGCTGGTGTCGTAACTTTTCCAGTCTACTCAGGAAATAGAGAGAGAGAGACAGAGAGTTCCACTACATGAAGCATCAAACCAAGAGAAAATTTAAACTTTCCAGGTTTCACTCAGTTTTTATTTTATTTTTTTATTAATTTGATTTATATGCCGCCCTTCTCCGGAGACTCAGGGCGGCTTACAATGCGTTAAGCAATAGCCTTCATACTTTTGTATATTTATACAAAGTCAGCTTATTGCCCCCACAAACTGGGTCCTCAATTTACCTACCTTAGAAAGGATGGAAGGCTGAGTCAACCTTGAGCCTGGTGAGATTCGAACTTATAGTAATTGCAGACAGCTGGTGTTAATCACAATGCTATCAGTCTGCTGAGCCACCAGGCCCATGTAACTATTTAGGAACCAAATCTCCTGAGCAAAGATCCTATATCATATGCATATATCAATGCATTGTTACTTTTAAAGTTGGGAAGAGAAAAACAGTTTCCGCTGTTTCAAATGTGAAGATTTTGGAGGGAGCTTTCTGCAAAACAAACACTAGCAAGAGACAAAGAAACTGCTTAACTCATATGTACAGAACACTTACCGTTTCCTCTTCCGAATATACAAAACCTAGGGGGGAAAAAATTAGAAAAACATTAGTGTCGTAAGCAATTTTTCAGGGGGACCTTCGCACTGAATAATTGTAATGTGTACTTGAAAAGGGAAAAGTTGTGCAGTTGTTAAGGGGTTAGACCAGCTTTGGATCTCACATGCCCTTCAGGGGTGAAATTCAGCCGGTTCTATCTGGCTCAGGCGAACCGGTTGCGGTGGCGGCTGCGGGAGGCTCCGCCCACCCATGCGGACGTCATGACGTCGCTTTTTTGCGATGATTTTAAGCCTCTGTGCACATGCAGAAGGCTTTGCAGGCACATTTGCGAACCGGTAGGGAAGGTAAGTGAATTTTACCCCTGACGCCCTTAGCCATGGCAGCTCACGCGGTGACTTTGAGTCTATCATTGTCTCTCAGCACAATGCACCTCAGAAGGTTGTTGTGGGGGGAAAGTAAGAGGAAGAAGGACTATGTATGTTGCTTTTTGCTCTTGAACAGAAAGAAAGAATATAAAAGTAACAAATACATGTGCACAAATTTATGAAACAAGCAATAAGAGTTGGGAAAACACATGAATTGATTTATTAGATTTATATTAGCCTTCCTGTACTACAGCAACTTTGTAAAGTAGGATGGGCTGAGAAAGAATGATTGGCCGAAGTCGCCCAGTGGGTTTCTGGGACTAGAACTTGGGTCTTACCCACATTTAATACATCTGGCTCGCTTTAATGCAATTAGTTTGGGGTGTAATCACGTATGGTGGACTTGCATACTGGGAAGAATGTTGCTGTCACCCAGTTCTTATTCTTAATGAGAGTGAAGGAATTATTTGGAATCTTAGCATAAGTATATTCTACCGAACAGCTAAAATCATTTAATATAATTTTACTGCCTTTCTGATTAGGCTTTCTCACAACAGTTACAAGATAAAATTATAACAATCTAAAACAACAGATGAAAACAGCTGTACTGAATCACTGGCACCTACAAATTAAGACTGTAAAATGAATCAAACCAGAGGGACACAATCCAGCATAACCTTTCTTAAAATGGAGCCACTGCAAGAAAGTCTGCCTCTTTTCACAGATTTTACTGACAAGGATATGAGCAGGGACCACCTAATCAATCCCGAGTAGGAGAATACAAATGAAAGCAAGTCTTTAAATGATCTGTACATCTGTTTACAGATATATCTGTTTATCTAAATCAGGGGTCCCCAACCCATGAGCCCCCAACCCACTATTGGACCATGAACCGTTCGGAATCGGGCCACAGAAGCGGCAGATGAACATGCACAGGCGCCACCCCCACTTGCATAAGCGGTGGACAAGTGTGTGCACACATGCTCCATTTGTGTGAGCGGCATGCATGCCCGCTGCTTCCCCCGTGCGCTCATTTGCCAGCTGCTTATGTGGAACCACCCCAGGGGTGAAATGCTCCCAGTTTGGACTGGATTGCCTGATCCGGTAGTGAGGGCGGTGGGTGGTTCGGAGAACCGGTAGCAAAAATCCCTGCCACCCCCCCCATGCCCAGCTGAGCCGCGCGATCATCAGAGGCTATTTTTTTTTATTTCTAAAAGCATTGTTTCTACAATCTCTTCAGCCAAAAAAATGCTTTTAATAGTAAAAAAAAAAAAGCCTCTGATGATCGCGCAGCTCAGCTGGGATCGTCAGAGGCTTTTAAATGCATTTTTTCTATAACCTCTCTGGCCGAAGAGGTTGTAGAAAAAAATGCCTTTAAAAGCCTCTGACGATCCCAGCTGAGTTGCCTGATCGTCAGAGGCTTTTAAAAGAAAAAAAAGCCTCTGACAATCAGGCAACTCAGCTGGGATTGTCAGAGGCTTTTAAAAGCATTTTTTTGACAACCTCTTGGGCCGAAGAGGTTGTAGAAAAAATGGTTTTAAAAGTTAAAAAAAAAAGATGGCCACGCCCACTCAGTCACATTACCCACCACCACCAAGTCATGCCCACAGAACCGGTAGTAACAAATTTTACATTTCACCACTGAACCACCCCCTCTCCTCCCCCTGCCAGTCTACAAAACTAGAAAGCTTGGGGAACTGATCTAAATCATGTATTAGTTTAACAATTGTTGCAAAGGGACTACAATTCTTTTTTAAAGAAAGGACCGGATTCCTTCTACAGGAATGTTTTTGCAGCCTTAAACTCAAGAGGTTAAGCTCAATTGGCACAAAATTTGGTAGTTACATTCCCAAACATAGTCCCAAGTCTTACCACTGCTACCGCCAACCCGATAACAGTAATGATGCCAAAGGACAAGAGCATGGTCTCCATGATTGGGCCATTGCTGACCACATCTGGAATTTTGGTGCTGATAAAGCTGCTGGGTTCAGGTGTCATTGCAACAGTTTCTGATCCGGTCTCATCAACAGTTGTCCCATGGTCTGTCTCAGGCCTGGTAGTGCCACTGAGGTACAGATTGCTTACAGTGGGTGTTCTGTAATTCATCTTGAACCAGAGTGCTTTATTCCTTTTTCGTGTTTGTTTGAATGATGGTTTCACCCACAATGTTCTTCTTTTTCAGTTATGAACTCATCATTTCTCTTCTTCTGTCAAGATGGGAAAGTTTTTTTTTCCGCTTATTACCTTTAATGGCTCTTCTGAAATGAAGTTCTTGTTGACTAATGCCTAAGCATAGAAAGAGAGATAGAAAAGGGATAATTTGCCTCCGAAATTATCTCGCACTGAACAGTAAACATTTATTTATCTACACCACAGATGCAAACCTCAAGCCTAAAGTCAAACGTATTTACGCATGACCAAGATGAAAAGTCAGCTGAGGACTTCCTAGTTCATAACCTCAATACTGACAATATAATTCCATTCGTCTGTTCAAAAGTCCTGCTGCATTGATCTTTTCCATCCTCTTTTACTGGACTAATGGAAGCTCTCCTCTCTCTAAATAAATTGTATTTGAGGGTCCAATTTAATGCCAGTATTTGCACTAAGATTACAAAGTCATGATCTTGTGCTTAACCAATAAATACAGAATAGAATACAGAATAACAGAGTTGGAAGTGACCTTAGAGGTCTTCTAGTCCAACCCCCTGCTTAGGCAGGAAACCCTATATCATTTCAGGCAGATGTTTGTCCAATCTCTTCTTTAAAACTTCCAGTGTTGAAGCATTCACAACTTCAGGAGGCAAGTTGTTCCGCTGATTAATTGTTCTAACTGTTGGGAAATTTCTTCTTAGTTCTAGGTTGCTTGTCTCCTTGATTAGTTTCCACCCATTGCTTCTTGTCCTGCCTTCAAGCGCTTTGGAGAATAGGTTGACTCCCTATTCTCCCTATCTAGGAAACCCCTAGATATTAAAACACTGCTATGACATTTCCAATGTCCTACTTTATTATTAATTATATTTATATCTCGTTCTTCCTCCAAGATGTTTAGGGGAACATAGCATCCGCATTCCTGAATTTTAATTTGACCACTCAGTGAAGCAAAAAGAAAGAAAACTGCTCTAAGGTCTGTTGGGATTGTTGACGGGTGGGGATTCCAAGTTTCAAATTATCAAAGGGAATCAGAGAAGAGACAGTAAAGAAATAAAGAGATCTATTATTGATATATGTCTTTTCTTCTGTAACCGAGAACAGATCATTTTTTAGGAATACTATACAGACTGTGAAAATAACTTGGAGAGACAGGAGGCAGAATGGGAACTAGACAATAGATAGGCAACACCTAAGAGGCAGATGAGCCCACAGAATGAAGGGGAAACTCAGAAGGGATTCTTCCTAGTTTCTTGGATGGTAAAAGCAAGGGGAGGGAAGAGATGTATTTTCAAAATTGCAAGATTCTACTACTGTAACTTATAATAAAGGTAGTGTTAGTACTCATGATTGGTGCTTCTTGTCTGGTATAAGGGCTGACATATGCTGTGTATTTCTTTGGGTTGGAGTTAAATGAAGCTCTGAAGACTTTTAATATTTCCATTATGTCCTATCAGTGCATTTACAATTACTCAAACCAAGCCAATCATCCACCAAGGAAGATATTTAACCTGTTAGGATTATCTGTATTTATAAGGTTGCTAAAGTTTACAGGATATGACCGGGTTATCACAAAAGTATCATCTGTGTAGGTTGGAGTGTAATTAGAATCAGGGAAAACAAAACGAAGGACGTGTAACTGGATTTATTTATTTATTACATTATTCTATTGCTCTATTGCAGATTCTGTTTCCTATTGGATTTTTAATAGATTTTAATTTTATTTTTATCTATTAATGCTATCAATATAGACAACGATAATAATCCAGAGAGTCCAAATGACCACTTAAGATACCATCCGCTACAAGTTTTTTTCCTTGGCAAATTTAAATGCCATTTTATTGTCAGGGTGATTAACTGGGGGTATCTATATGGTTTAAAATGCTCAATGTATTTTTCATGTAAATATATTTTTTAAAATAAGAAAAAGGTACTCATGCAAAGGAGGGGTTTTAAGGATCAAGACAGCAAAAGCAAGTTGAACAACGTAACATGCTGAGTGTGTTTCTTATCTACACAATGCAAAACTACTTTCTTTGACTTGCTCTATGAGGATCACCTGAAAAGCAGTTATAAAATACAGGATGATGAGAAAAATGCAGTAAGGAGAAAGTAAGTGTTAGTGATGCACTTTGTAACTTGATACATGGCTATCTTAAAGGGCAGTCCTTACAAATTTTACAGTTTGACTGATTATTTATTTATTCAATTTCTATAGCCACCTATTCCAGTCAATGACTCTGGACAGCTTACAATTTCTTACCTTTCACTTTTTCCAGCTTTATAGATTTCTCAAGAAAACTAGGTTTTCACATATTGTGTCCAAAATAGGATAATATATATGACTTTGGTCATTTGAGCCTTAAGCAAGAATTCCAGGTTGATTTATCCAATGATCCATTTGTTGTTGTTTTCTTGATTGTCTATGGTATTCTCAAGAGTCCTCTCCAAACACCAAAGTTCAAAAACATTAATCCTATTCTTATTATTCAAAGTTTAGCATCCATAGACTCACAGGGAAAACCACTGCCTGTATAATTCTAATCTTTGTGGGGATAAACACATCACAGCATCTGAATATCTTTTCCAAGGCTACTACCCTTCTCAGTGCTGGCTATGATAATTTCTTAACTGCTTGATTAATTCAATGTTATCTGTTGTCATTAGTTTGATCTTCTTTATTCATATTTCACATTTTCACATTTCACATTTTCTTTCTGTACTATGGTTTCCTATCCTGTGTATTAATTTCTCATGAGGACAATGAAATGTTCTGGATTTCCCATTTCCCAAAATCAGTTTGACATGATTGACACAACTGAGGGACTTTCTAGGAAGCTCATGCTACCTTCTCTTTTGTATTTTTTGTGCATCAAGAATAAGTTTCTTGCTCTTCAGCCTTTTCTAAAACCAGCTTGAGAATCTAGAATTTCCCTTTCCATATAAGATTCTAATGCTTACTGAACGATCTAAGCATAATTTTGCCAGCATGTGATGATATTATGGATGATGTCGTAGCCTTGGTTACATTCTATATTTATTTCTTCATATTTATTATCTAAACATTTTCATTCCCATGTTGTCACTGCAGCTGTTAAGCACGCTGATATATTCATATTCACAGAACTTTCAACCATGACCGCAACATCTCTTCTCACAAAAGTCAGTGCTAGTTCAAACCCTTCATCCACTGTACAGATATGGTTAGAGTGTCTTAGCCTTATAAGCACTGCCTTTGGTCTGCCTGAAGATTCACAAAACTAACTCAGCTTAGGCACTTTAATCTTAAAAAAGCGGTAAACTGTAAAACAAAAGGCAATTTGGGCAATTTGTCTGAACTAGTTTTTCCCAACATGCAATCCCTCTGTGGCTCAAACAAACACGCCAAAAACTGATCATGACCAAGTTTATACCTTACTTTCTCTTGCTAGTCAGATCAGTTTTGCTGCAGGCAGGCTGGGTAAGAATAATTAAAAAGAACAGTCCAGTCTAATTCCTAAAGCGTTGCTGAACATCAGGACCCTTTTGGCTGCTTAGTCAGGCCCCGTTCAGACTTTCCACCCAAGGAAAAAGAATGTTCCTTATTGTAATTGCCTGCAGAGGGGAGTAGTCTGACCTGAAGTAAATCTAGCATGTCTCTTCTTTCCCAGGGCTGTGATTTGACAGGGCAGGAGGAAAAGAAAGAAACTTGGAGTAGACAGCTGGAGGGGGGGGGGGAACAGCCCCAGAGCAAAATGCAGGGGATTGCCCTCCCTTTATTGTTTACAATGACAGATGCTCCCTATGGCCTGTTCTGTTCCCATCCATGCCCTCAATTCCTTGCTGGGTGTACCTTGCCTATCACCAGCTCAGCCAGGGACATCAGTACCTACTGAGATCATGCCTAGGCGAAGAGGAATTATGCCCTGCTCTTATCCCAGGGGTACATCTCAGATCGGGAAAATACCCCCAGGGCAAGATCGCTGCCACACGGGGAAGAGAGTAACCAACCCTTCTACCCACGGGATTCATCCCTTCGTTGTTTTTGGAGGCTTCGGAAAGAGAGAGCCTGCCTGAGACTCGCTTCCCGCCTATAACTTAAGGCGTGACACCGACTCCTAGGTCAAGCGAGGAGGCTGGGTTGTGCGGTGTCCCGGGGAGTGGAAGACTCTGGCCCGGCCCTCTTTGACTAAAGCAGGCTTTCAATGGCCGTCCGAAGGGACAGCAGTATAATCGGATTGTTTTGCTGGAGGCTGGGCTGCCTGGGGGTGTCTACCGCTTTGCTGCAATTCGGATTACCTGCATCGGAGAGGAATGAATAGCTGCCGGGGTGCTGGCACGGCCTGAGGTGCCATTGTGCTTTCCAAGATGCTACAAGCAGCCTCCACCCCGTTTCTGCCGCTGCCCCTCTTAATCCCCTGCTTTGATCTCGCCTTTCCCCGGGATTGGCTAACACAGGACGGCGCTTTGGTTAAGGATTGGGCCGGTTGGCATGTCACTCAAAAAAAAAGAGAGGCGGATGGCTGCTTGCAAGAGCCCAAGTCCGGGAATGCAAAGTGAGATTTTACGTGGTCCAGGCTGGCTCTCAGCCGAAGGAGCGTCGCGCGTTCGGCCAGAGGGAAAGTGGTACCTTAGGAATGATTGCGGGTCACTTCCCGAGGATTCCCTTCCCGTGCCTCCTTTGTTGGAATGAACCCACCATCCTGCACGGAAAGACGATGATTTTTACTACCTTTTGGAAATCGGGCATCTATATTTATGTTCAAAGTGTGGGATATAGATGTACTTAATAAAACCGCTCGCGTAATGGACGCGGGGAAAGCATTTCTGCTCCCTTAACCCACCTCCCACCCTCCCCACTCCTCCGATTTGAAACCGGCAAATACTTCATAAAGAAATCACGATGAAGTTTCCGTTCGGCGCTATAATAAAAGTCATTTAAAATGGTTTAAATTAAAACAAGGTAATCCTAGTCCACGGATAAGCCTAAACAGGGCTTAAAACACGATATCTGATCAAGCCATGGATTGAGTCTACTATGCATATTTCCAAGCCATGATTTGCTTATTTATTTACTAAGTCTGCGCTACTATTAATGTTCTCATCGTTCCCACCACCCATCTCCTTCCACTTATGACTGTATGACTGTAATTGTGTCGCTTGTATCCTTACGATTTATATTGATATTGTTTCCTGATTGCTTATTTGTACCCCTATGACTATCATTAAGGGTTGTACCTTATGATTCTTGATGAACGTATCTTTTCTTTTATGTACACTGAGAGCATATGCACCAAGACAAATTCCTTGTGTGTCTGTCCAATCACACTTGACCAATAAAATATTCTATTCTATTCTATGTTTTGCTACCTAAAACGCTGGATCACATGTAGCTATAGCGTGCTTATTAACAACTATTTACCGGGGGGGGGGGGTGTTTGTGGTTGGTTTTAGTTTGCTCTGAACCCAGCCAAACAAATTACAGAATAATTTAGAGTGGGATAAATGAATATTTGACTTAGAATAACTTTATTGTACACTTTAAATGTACACTAATCGGTATGCATTAAAATGATATTTCGTTGCATACATAGGGCCGCTTGCGTACTGTATTTCTGCCAAGAAAATCACCGATGAAGCCTACAAACAAGACTCAAACTCGATTCAAAGGTGGCATCAGTTTTCCTGAACTCCTTTAGAAGAATTACCTCCAGTTTCCACGCGGCGTCTCCCTTGTCTCGTTCAACGCGCTCCGAAAAAAAGGGAGAAGGGCATTTTGGAAGGTGGAGCTTTGGCTCCCTAGGAACCTCGCTTCAATGGCGCTGTTGGCAAGCCGAGCTGAAGCGTTTGTCGCTCGCACCGGAAGAGTTGTTCCCTCTCGAGCATCTGATCTCCACCGTCCGACGAAGGCTGGCAGTTTTCCCTTTTGACAGGTAAAAGCTGAAAGTCTCTGTCGTGCCCATCCTCGTACCTCAAAGAAAACGCATATGGAGTTTCCCACCCACCCCCTTTTCGTTCCTTATATGAAGTCTTTTTTTTTTAATCGCATTAGAAAGGCGTCCGTGTTTGATTTCGTATACGTACACTTTGTACAGTTGTATTGTGTACTTGCAAGTACTGTGCGAAGGCCAGCAAGTTTGCAAAATGTGGATGGGTTCGTAGAAAAGATTCAAAAAGTTTACGACAAAAGATAAAGTGGATTCAGATTAAGGTTGTATAATTGTAGCTCCCGTTGTAATGTCTATGCAGATTCTCAATCCTCTAGATCAGGGGTCTCCAACCTTGGTCACTTTAAGCCTGGAGGACTTCAACTCCCAGAATGCCCCAGCCAGCTTTGCTGGCTGGGGAATTCTGGGAGTTGAAGTCCTCCAGGCTTAAAGTGGCCAAGGTTGGAGACCCCTGATCTAGATCATGGTTGTCCCAAAGGTGTTTTTTCAAGAGGCAGCTGGACTTTCTGGTTTTTCGTTGAAGCGAAACGTCTTCAAAGAAAAACCAGAAAGTCCAGTTGCCTCTTGAAAAAGCAACTGTGGGACATCCGGTTGTAATAAGCAACTTATTTAACAGATTTTATAAGTTCCATGCAAATCAATGAGGATAAAGGATAAGTAATTTTTTTTTTAATGGAACAAATGAGCTGCTCTTTAAGAATGAGGCAAATACAAGGGAGGAGCTTCCTTTTTCGTCTGGTGAATCTGGTCAAACCCTGTTCAGCTAGGAGACTCAATTTTGTTAAAGTATAATGTGGCTTCTTGGATATTATGTGAATCTAGCTATTATGATTCAGAAATAATGCTTAGTGTGTGGTGCAAAAGCTCTGATTTTTGCTTATGCAGCCCTCTATGATTAAACAAATAATAGCCTTGTGTGATGACCGTGAAGATTCCTCAGGTGCTCAGTTCAGCAGTGTACTACAATATATGCAGCATAAAGTATTTGGAAGTTTTTATGCACAGAGGCCAGACAGGGTAGCAAATCTTTTTATCTCATTGGATTCAAAAAAGATACTCTGCCAAGGTTCAAAAGCATTTGCTAGAGCTGATCATGCTTGATTTTATTTCACCATAATTATCTGATAGAATTAAAATATTATGATGTTAAAATGGGATGGGGGGGTTGAACCATTTAGAAGTTATATAATGTACAGGTTACAAATAATACAAATACAAATTATAACAAAACAACAAAAAAGTTTGCCTAAGTGTATTGAGAAGGAACAATTGACAGTCACTTCATATAATATATAATGTGTCTATGTGCGAGAAGTTGTGTCTATGTATGAAATTATTTGAAACGTGAAGGGGACTTTAATGTGCTGTATTCAGTGAAAGCAACTTTGCCACCTGAGTGGTGCACATTGAGAAGAACATGGCTAGAGATACAGTTGTAAAAAAAAAATCCCATGTTAATATAATATATAATACTGTAATGGTCTATTTTTTTTCTGTGAAAAGTAAACCTGTTTTGAATTTGAGAAGATTTATTTGTTTATCTCTCCATCTCTTAGTGTTCTACTAGGACAAGATGGCATTTGAATCTGACACTGATGTTCTTCTCTACAAAAACGATGTGTTCAGAATATTAGGACAAGATGGCATTTGAATCTGACACTTATGTTCTTCTCTACAAAAACGATGTGTTCAGAATATTATGCCATGGTGATGTATACTGTTACACCAGACTACTGACAGAGGTCCTGCAATAGTCCTGCAAAGGCGAATCAGTGCTTATACCTAAAAACTGATATTTTTCTGAAGCAATGACACCTTTCAGCAATGTTTTTTACAGGAAGATTTTGTGTCTGTTCTCTTACCATGGATATTTTAGAATGCATCGAATGGAAGATACTCGTCTAAATGCCTGGCACAGACATCTGAGAAATTACTCCTATTATAAAGCCAATGTGATCTCAGCTGTTGATGCAGTCAAGTATTGGCAAGGCGTGTTTGAGGCAAACAATATCCCAGAAGCACAGACATCTTCTGAATATATTGTTTCTCATGTCCTAGGAGCAAAAACAGTTAAGTGCTATGGGTGAAATTAGAGCTATAGTACAAGATCTGTAAAACTACAGATCAACATTAAATGCAGTAACCGAAATATATTTTTTTATATTTTTCTGTATCTCTGCTACACTGGGGTGATTGTCCAAATATTTTCAGCCCAGAACTGGATGATCTAATATAATATGTGTATGTCTGTACCGAGCATCTAAATGTATCTCTCAGGATCAATCTTACATGTGCTTTGGCACATAACAAAACTCCCTAAGAGATAAATAGCACTTCTTGCAGGCAAATTGTAACTTGGGCATGCTTCCAAAGAATTGTGCTGGTCAAAGTACATGGAATTCTTTGCTGTTTGCAATGGCATTGGCTTTTAATATATCTTTTTCTTGATTATTAAGTACAGCAGATGTATATGTGTCTTCATTTGCCATAGAATATAATGGCTAAGCTCCTACTCCTGCTTCATAACTAGAAATTAGATTTAATCAGCAGTTAGAAGAACATGCTCATACATCATCACTCATCTCATTATTCCCTTTGGGAGTAAGTAATATGCAGAATGCCAAGAAGGAATAAATAGTTGGATAATGAAATTACAGTGAAGGCATGTGGTAAGAAAAGAAAACAGCTGAAGCTAGTTTACACCAACATCATTCACTTCAACCTTCCCTACCTTTCTGTCTATTCAAATCATCGTCTCCATCATGTCGATGTACCATGTTCCACATTTCCCCCCCTACATTTATAGCTTTCTCAGTTATATATTCTTTACCTGCAGCTTTATCATCCTTGGCATTATTAAAGTGTTTATTACTTCCTTTTCTTCTAATTTAGATACTAACATATTTTTTTCTTGAGTACTAACATTTTTAGCATTGTCACCAGCTATGGTAAATAGAGATTTTCATAAAAAGGATTTTTTAGTAATTAGAAAAAGTGTAAACAACCTTATTTATTTTATTTATTAATCAAATTTCTATACCGCCCTACTCCCGAAGGAGATTAAGGAGCCTTAATCCTACCTGTGTCACAAGTAGCATAGCATATATAAACTGCAATTCTTCTTAAAAGGTGTTCAGATTAAAAACTGCCTAAGAAACCGTCAAAAATAGTCACTTTATAGGAAAACAGAATAACAGAGTTGGAAGGCACCTTGGAGGTCTTCTAGTCCAACCCCCTGCTTAGGCAGGAAATCCTACACCGGGACAAGATAGACAATATAAATCTTTAACAAATAAAAATAAATAACCTACATGCAGTTTTATATAGTTAATAAATTTCATTTCACTGATGCTTGTATCACTGAATGTGTTCAAGCAGAGGCTGAACAGCCATCTTTTAGAGCTTTTGAATTGGATTCCTGCACTGAGCAGAAATTTGGATATGATGGCTTAAATAATGCTTTCCAACTCTGTGATTTTATCATTTCCCACTGTATATGTTTGTTAATACGGATATTTAGCATTAATTATATTGCTTTGTCTCAGAGTATGGTATACTAAATAATGAATTTTAGTTGCAGGACGGTAAATACTGATTTAGGTTTTTGGGGGGGGAAATGTTGGCATTTGTAAAATATGACCAAAAATATTTCATTTGGAAGAGGATTGATGAAAGACAGAAATTAAGAGTGTTGAATTAGGAAATACAGAAGAGTAAAGTAATTAAAGTACTCACCTATTTTTCTTAACTGTAGATGGTCCGATACCATCAGTGTTTATAATTAATTCAATGAAAGTTAGCCTTTATGAGCTATTCTGGTTAAAGGAAATGATAAAGCAATTTGTTAGTGGAGCCATTTATGCAGACATTGAATTTCCTTTAATTGGATGCTGGAGAGGCATCTGTCAAATACACTTTTAATTTAGATTCCTGTATTAAACAGTCAGTTGGACTTGAGCATTGCCAGACAAGTACAGTAGCCTGAGAAATGTATCCTCTTTTACATTTCAGTAAATCAGCCTTCTCATTGCCAGCTTTGAACCTCTTTTTTTGCCAGTGGTTACCTAAAAGGGAAATTACACTTGTATACTACTTATCTACCATACAAATTATTATGAGCCTCTTGCAGGGGTGAAATGCTCCCGGTTCGGACCAGATTGCCTGATCCGGTAGCAATGGTGGCGGGTGGTTCGGAGAACCGGTAGCAAAAATCCCTGCCCCTCCCCCATGCCCAGCTGAGCTGCACAATCATCAGAGGCTTTTTTTTTTTTTACTTTTAAAAGCATTTTTTTTACAACCTCTTCTGCCGAAAAAAATGCTTTTAAAAGTAAAAAAAAAAAAGCCTCTGATGAACACGCGGCTCAGCTGGGATCGTCAGAGGCTTTTCAAAGCATTTTTTTTTTTGCAACCTCTTCGGCTGATGAGGTGGTAAAAAAAATGCTTTGAAAAGCCTCTCTGATGATCCCAGCTGAGTTGCCTGATCGGCAGAACAGGTCTCAGCTGAGATCGTCAGAGGCTTTTCAAAGCATTTTTTTCTGCAACCTCTTCGGCCAAACAGGTGGTTAAAAAATGCTTTGAAAAGCCTCTGACGATCTCAGCTGAGTTGCCTGATCGGCAGAGGCTTTTCAAAGCATTTTTTTGCAACCTCTTCAGCTGAAGAGGTTGCAGAAAAAATGCTTTGAAAAGTTTTTTTTAAAAAAAAGTTGGCCATGCCCACCCAGTCACATTACCCCACCACCACCAAGCCATGCCCACAGAACCGGTAGTAACAAATTTTACATTTTACCCCAGCCTCTTGCATTTAGAAGCAGTATGGCCTTGAAAGCAATTTACAATGGTGGAACTGTTGCTATTCTCCTTTGTTGATGTTAGTTCAGCCTTCACCACCATCTCCATAAAGGAAAGAAATTGAGCTATCTGGGCTAAGCTAGTGTTTATGTAATGATGGTTAAATTCCTCCTTCAAGGCCATCTCCGTAATTTCTCTATGTGGGGGAGACATATCAACATCTGTAAAAAGTCCAGTGTTTCCGGGTTACATCAAATTGTGGTGACATATCAGAATGGCTTCCAACATACTGGATTTAGTTTTTCTATAGGTTTTTTTAAAAAAATAATGGCCATATATCTATGCTGGGTAGGTGACTATTTTACAAAGAATGTGTAGGCTTCGTTTAAAATAAAATATTTATTATTCAGTTCCAGAGTCTGAATGCCAGCAGCATATCTGCTCCCCTTTCAGCAAAGCAACAAAAACAGATCCAACAGCTCTGTGTGAAACGACTACAACGGTAGGCACTCTGGTCTTTCTTTTTTCATCTAGGAGTTCTTTGTAAACATGGAGCAAGTAGAAACTAAAGCAGCCAAACTGCAACATCACCTAATTTGAAGCCTTCCCTGAACCCTGTGTCCTGAAATAACGGGAGAAAAGAGATATGAGACATGTATATAATTCTTTTTAAGAGAGACAGTTTCAAGATAACCCAGAAAGGAGATGCCCCCACACACACACACACACATTTGAGTTAGGAATAAGCAATAAAAGAGAGTTCAATAATTCAAGTATTAACTATCCCCACTGCCTTTATGGCAAAATTGTAGATTTGCATTTACGTTTGCATTTAATTAAATTGTGAGTAAATCTGTTTGAAATCTATGAAGCCGTACTAAGAAGTGCACCAGCAAAGAGATGTTAGAGATCTAGTAATATTTACTAGCTTAAAGTATCATAGGTAAAGATAAAGGTTTCCCTTGTCCAATTGTGTCCAACTGTAGGGGGTGGTGCTCATCTCTGTTTCTTAGCCAAGGGAGCCAATGTTGTCCACAGACATCTCTGTGATCATCTGGTCAGCATGACTATACCCTGGGGCGCACAGAATGCTGTTACTTTCCCACCAACGTGATACTTATTTATCTACTCACATTTGCATTATTTTGAATGGCTAGATGGGCAGAAACAGGGGCAAGTAACAGGAGTCACTCCATTGCACGGTGCTTGGATCTTGAACCCAGACTGTCAGCTTTCCAACTGACAAGCTCAATGTCTTTAACCGCTCAGCCACCACACCCAGGGGTGGGTTTCACTTACCTTTGCTACCGGTTCGCTCATGCGTTACTAGAGCCCTATTTCTACAGTAAAAGAATGTACAGCATCTGGTTATTAGCGTAGTCGTACTTTGAAACAAGTTACAATATTATGTTTAGGAAGCTTTCAGGTTCTATTGTACTTTCTGTTTGATGAGAAGCAGAAATCTTGTGAAGAGTTGTCTTACATCTTGGGAAGCTTGAATGCTAAACTAGTTTCTAAAAGTGGAGTAAAACCATGTTGTAGGAGGATATAATTGAACAATTGGCAGAGTTATGGATAGACTCTTGTGGGAAACTGGTGATAAAGAGCTTCTTAATGACATCAAGGTACATTTAGAAATTATTTATGAAAAAATGCTCTCTGGTAGTACTGGATGTTCTTGCCTTCCATTTCATTCACGGAGGAAAGGAAAGAGGCCAGTGCAGTTTGTGTTTTAGCAACTGATATGAAAATAAATGAGATAATAACATCTTGTACAACTTTGGCCAAACGTATCACACAACTCACCTTCTATTCCAGGATGCCAGTACAGTATGTTCTTGGTGAATGGGATTTCCAAGATCTGACACTCAAGATGAAGCCTCCAGTTTTCATTCCTCGACCAGAGACAGAGGCAAGTTATTAGAAAGGAAAAAAACTGCAGCTGTTTTCTACATGCATATAAGTGCCTGCAACCTTTTGCTTTGAAGGAAACACAAGGTTGATCAGCCAGCTTCAGAGAACCTAAATAGGAATAGGAGGTTCCTCTTGACTCTGCCTTCTCATAAGCATAAGGATTTTACATTTATATGTCGGTCCCCTTGTCTGATGACTTGAAAGAAATTTCAGAATAAGTTAAATTGCCATTTTCTTACCTCCTGTGATGCAATTTTTCTCTTGAACGTCTCACTTTTTTCACAAACCTGATGTCTAAAGTGTGGATGTTTACCAAAAAGCAACCACTAAAAGTTTCCAGTCCCTGTGGGTTTTTCTAGGTTGGAAATTACAGTTTATCCATTGGGCAACAACAGTTTCTGCCTTGCTATGGAACATGATGATGAATTATTTTGTGATCCCTTATAGATCCCAGATTCTAACAAAGTACATCATGAAGCTCAGTACATCCCTTAATTATCTGGATGCCAAATCTGCCTTTGCAAAAGGAGCTCAAAAGGAATAGACCATCCCAAAACTGACAATCATAATGTTACTTTCTATGCCAGGCTCTCATTATCAGAGTTACAGCCTGCCCACCCAGTTTTTAAGCAAGTACCGGTATGTGATGCAAGCGATCATAGGGAAAACAAAAGAGTAGTCTCACTATTTTGAAATTTATCTAGGCCAGGGGTCAGCAACCTTAAACACTCAAAGAGCCATTTGGACTCATTTCCCAAAGAAAAGAAAATACCAGGAGCCACAAAGCCCTTCCCACACCTGACTACTTCCTGAGTGGCCACAAAACTAGCATACGTAGTTGAATTAAACATTCTGTTTTCTTCTGAAACTTTTCTTTTCTTGGATTTATCCATGGTTGGCCTACCGGGAGTCGAAAAGCTCAATAAATTGCGTGCCGAGGGTTTCGTACATTGGCGGTTGTGACTCATATTTTGAGTGACAGGGAGCCCGCAGCAGAGGGATGAAAGAGCCATATGCAGCTCCAGAGCCATGGGTTGCCGACTCCTGACCTAGGCCAGCCTGTAGTTTGTAGTTAAGTACACCGTCATGTTCTATCTTTGTTTTTGCCAACAAAACGAATATTATGTGGGCTAATTTCAAAGTAAAACACAGCAATGGGCTTCTTTTTTCACATCTTAATTTTAGTTGATCCTCTACTTCTCCCTCTCTTTGCTCAAATTCCTGAATGGACCCGAACTGGATGAGTGGGATTTGTCAGTTTGTTATCAGTTAGTTACACTGTGCTAGTTTTTGAATGATCTTCTTACCAATAAAATGTACATTTATTGTAATGGGTAACAGAGACTGGCAGTCTGAAGAGCATAGCGCCAGATATTTCTTCATTTATCTTCCTGGAATACTAGAGCTACTTTAACACTTGAAATTCTCTGAATAAGTCCTATTTTAACAGTAATATGCTTCCATATTACTGACTCAGTTTATTGTGTAGAGAAAAACAATTATCTGTGGAGACTTTGGTTTTCTCTGAGCTTGGTTGTTTGCTTGCAGACATTTCATTACATAATGATTAAATAAAGTCATCGGTCCTGGTGAGTGTGGGTTTGCTCCCTGTTTATATACTTGCCCTGCCAGTGTTGGCAGAAGTGGGGTTTTCTCCCTGAGAGTACCTTGATTAGGGTATTGTTTTCTCTTGATTGTTTCTCTGATGTTAATCCTTTCCTATCTGGGTGTAGGCTCTGGAGAGATGGTTCTGAACTTTTTGTTTCATTCTTTTTAACTGCCTTTAAAAGTAGTTTCATCTCTATGTATCTATTGAAAGCTGTTTTGTTTGAATGCCGCACTTCCAGAAATTCCCTAGCATTTTTAGATTTAGTTTGGTCTAGAATGCTCTCAGTCTCCCAGTTCAAATTATGAACTGAGTCTGTCTGTGCATTGTGAAAGTAAGAAGTTTTCATTGTGATTTCTAACTGCTAGGTGATGTTCATGGATGCACTCTGTAGTCTTCTGTCCAGTTGTCCTACATCATGGCTGTTACAGTCACACTGTATGTTGTAATGCCTTTTTTTTTTTTTAGGCTACTGGGGCACCTGGTTTAAGATGTTTTGGAGGGCTTTAGTTAGTTTATTTACCATAGTGATGCTGTGAAGTTTTTAATAGTCTGTTGTTTATAAAATGTTTTTAATGTATGGTACTGTTCTATTTTTCACAGCTTGTGTTGCTTATGCTATAGTGGGTTGAGGGCTCAGGTACTTTTTGGTAAAATTGTACAGATATCCATTTTGTTGGGAGATATTGTATAGCAGGGGTCCCCAACTCCCAGGCTGTGGCCCACTATCAGGCCACAGCCTATTCACAGTCAGGCCACAGGCCTATGTGAGCAGCGGGACAGTGCACATGCTCGTGCAGTTCGACTCACACAAGCAGCGGGTTGGTGCACAAGTGCGCATAGCTCAACTTGCAGGCATGTGCATAAGCGTGCGTGCCGGACCACCACCCGTATGAGTCAGGCTGCGCCCATGTGCGCATATATGCACACCAGCCCCCCACTCACACATCCTGGTTTCCCTCTTCCCTGCCCTCCAGCTGGTCCACCAAGCTGAAAGGTTGGGGACTGCTATTATATCGGCAATCTGTTTACTTTTTCTGGTGCTCTGTGTTGCTGCAGCACATTTGTCTGAATAATGTTCTTGCACGGCTCCTCTTGTGGAAGTTTGGGTTATTATTTTTCAATAGACTTGCATTTCTAAGTTGCTATCTTTTCTTTTTCTGATGAGAATATTCAGGAAGAGCAGTGTGTTATATTTTCTTCTCCCATTGTGAACTTTATTCCTTTGAAGAAGATGTTGATTGTTTCATGTGGCTTCACTAGTTCTCTCTTTTTTATTATGACACATCTACCTACCAGATCCATAATTTTAGTAGAGGCTCTCTAGAGGCTGTATAATGGCTTTTGCTGTGGAGCCTCTGATTTGTTGGTAATATTTGTCCATCAAACTGAAAGTAAGTAGTGAGGCAGAGGTTAATGAGGTCCATGATTCCAGGTATTTCTAACTTGGGTATAGTGTATTTAACTAGGTTTGGGTATCTTGGTAATCATCATCATGATCATGATCAAAAAGAGTAGAGAGAAATGGAGTGCCCAAGCAGCACCTAACAAGATAGAGCTACATGACTGTGTATCTTCCAAGAATCACCAGCACAGTATTTATATAAATCTTGTTGCACAAGCTGAGTGGCTGACCAGTCTTTTAATCACTCAAAGTTCATAGGCTGTGCAAGGTCACTTTGCTTATTTCAAAACAACTGGGTTTTTCTTGTGGGTCTTTTTCCAGGAATATCGCTTAAATGGTAGATGATGAAAGAAACTGCAGCTACAAAATGCTTCTCTTTTTCTGTTTATCAGAAGAACATAACAGCCTTTTTCTGCTCTCTAATCGACTGACTGTAACTTTTTTTTACACTTGAGAATATTTATAAAACTTGATGAAATTTATAATAAATCTACCAATTTGCTTGATGAAATTTGCAGTGAGTCTTCCAAATAAAAATGGTTAATAATGTGCTGTTTATCTGCATGGAGGATTTTCCTCATTTCCTTAGCTAATGTGTATCCCAGTGCAGATTGAGAAGAAAAGGATGGTTTTTTCCTCAAATAAGGAAAGAATAGTAACCCAATAGAGCTTCCTTTGGGCTTTCTAAAGGAATAAATATGGTATTGTACTCCACTGCTGTGAGTATTTATTGTAAGATTAGCCATTTCTTAGGGATTCATATCTTCACAAAGAAGAGAGTGTCAACCTATTCTCCAAAATACCTCAAGGCAGGACAAGAAGCAATGGATGGAAACTAATCAAGGGGAATAATAGCAACCTAGAACTAAGAAGAAATTTCCTGACAGTGAGAACAATTAATCAGTGGAGCAACTTGCCTCCAGAAGTTGTTGATGCTCCAACACTGGATGTTTTTAAGAAAAGATTGGGCAACCATTTGTCTGAAATGGTATAGGGCATGGGTGTCAAACTTGCAGTGTCACAATGCTGTCACTTGACATATCACAATGTTTTTCCCCTTTGTGGAGCTGGGGTGGGTGTGGCCTGTGCATGACACATCCAGCCCACGGGCTGCCAGTTTGACATCCCTGGTATAGGGTTGGAGATTGGACTAGAAGACCTCCAAGGTCCATTCCAACTTCGTTCTTCTTAAAGTTTTCCAAAATGTCCGCCCTTCTCCTTTGCTAGACTTGGAATGCCCTGCTAGTAACATATTTACAATATTGAATTTCTGTTTATAGATGAGAACAAAAGGAGACCCATTCCTTTGCTGATAGAAAGCAAGTGTTACCCACACCACTGCTTCCCTAATGCTTCCTGAAGTCAGATGGTATTTTTATGAGCCCATGTAGTGAAGGTATAGAATGGTGCAGTGGCCTAGAGATGGAGCTCTCGCCTCACAATCAGGAAGCTTTGAGTTCGATCCTAAATAACGGCAGATATTTTTCTCTCTGGGCACAATGAGTAAATATCTGCTACAAACTCTGCATTGGCAACAGGAAGGGCATCCGGCCAGTAAACACTCAGGTCCATTCAGTTGTGCCGACTCCACCCCCAATGCAAGGGATTACCGGATCATTAAAAGACAAAAAAAATGTAGTGAAGGTATAGCTCCTTTAATGAATTCTTCACAGCTACAGCAAGGGTACCCACAACAGATCCAATAAGTATTTGCCTGCTTTGCTTCCAAATAGTGAATCATATTAGTATAAACTGTTTCCTTTTTTTTTTTTTTTGTGTAGATGTAATGCCCTTAATTTATATAACTTACTGTTTTTTACTACTTATAATCTTGCTTTTCCTGAAAAAGAATAAAGTGATGAGCTACGTAGAAAAAGGGAAATTTTGTATGCTTTTTCCTGTTAGTGCTTATTTCTGTTTTTTTAAAAAAATAGGCCTGGCCACCAGGGGGCAGATTGGTTTTAAATTCAGAGAACAGCTATTTTATTGGGTTGACTTCTAGGAATTATTGCTCTGCTGTTTTAATAGACTTCCTGGTGTATGTTTCTTCTTCCCTATTGATGTTTCTCTTTTTCGAGAAAAGGAAAGTAAGCGTGGTCAAAGTTCATATTTATTTTACAACCTACTTTTTCTTCTAGGAAACATCTGTTCCTGTTCTTTGTTCCTTTGGTTCAGAGAAATACAGCAATACGCCTCAAAAACCTTTCTGAACGATTCTGGGTACTTTTGTCTTTTTACGAAAAGGACTATAGCTTTTCCACAACAACTGACTGAAATAAGTGGTTTGCTGAATATGATAGGTGAATTTTGTGTGAATTACAGTAGTAACTTTTTTGACAGGATTTAGGCTCTGGCTGATACAAAGCAGGTTTCCCTGAAACAGCTTGGAGCAAGTCAGGAGTTATTCAGATCTTTGGGGTTTCAGAAGACACAAAACAGTGCTAGTCTTAGACTCTTTCTTAAAAATGGTTACAATTCCAGTCTAGATTCTGCATGAAAGAAACAGTACAGGCAGAAAAATGGAGAGGACAGGACGGGTGGACATGCCTAGAATTAAAACCTGTAGCCTTCTTCAAGTAGAACAACCCCCAAGCAGTGATCTGTATCAGAGGCGTGTCTCAAAACCCGTCACTACCAGTTCACTCGGTGTGCGCTCGTGCGCATGTGCAGAAGCGTCTGGGCAGGTGGGCGGAGCCTCCTGCCGCCGCCGCTACCTGTTCGCCCAATCCGGGGCGAACCGGTAGCAACCCACCACTGATCTATATGATATGTCTTACTTGGCTGTTTCCTGTGACATTGTAATGTAATGTAGAGATTACATTACATTGTAATGTAATCTCTCTGCATATTTGGGCTTTGTGGATCCCTCATAATTTGATGGTGAAAATCATTAAAATACTTGAATTCTTTCTTCTTCTTCTTCCAGATATCTGCTCTATCTGTGTACTTGGGTACTACAGTATAAAATGTCATGGAACTGTTTGGTTCCTCGGTTCATGGCCAAACCATTTTACTTGATAAGGAGAGGAGGGAAACAAACAGCCACATTTTCAAGTACATTGGCTCCTTCGGGCTGTGTCCTATCTGCATTGCAGTTTCTGTTTACTGCAATGCACTTCTGATATTACAGGTTTTCTGAGAAACACTGGATAGCTATTGGACTGTTTTCGTAAAAACATGCCATTGAACCTTAGCAAAACTTCTAACAGAACTGGATACCTTTTTAAAAATGGCTTTTTTCCCAGAAAAAAACATGATCTTTTTCTCCAAAATATCCAGCTTTTAATTTTTTAAAATTCTAAATTCTCCACATAAAGAAAAAAATAACATATTTTGCTATTCCTAAGAAGAGACATTGAATATCTTGGGCATTTTTCGATGGGAAAAGTACTATGATCCTTTAATAACTTAACTAAAACTAATAGCAGATCAAAGTTTGCTTTATATTGTCCCTCAAAGCAATAGAAAAGGGGAGGTGATGATATATTATTAATTATACAAGAAACTGGTCGCAGGCTTAAGATGCCGCCTCCAAGCCGAGGGGCGACCCAATGGTGCAGTAGGTGCGCTGCTGCTGCCGCCACCCAGACGGGAGAGGGGAAAGAGATGGAGAGCAAGAGATGAAGGAGAGAAAGAAGGGGGGAGAAAAAGAGATGGAGAGAAAGAGATGAAGGAGAGAAAGGGGGAGAAAGAGAGATGGAGAGAAAGAGATGAAGGAGAGAAAGGGGGGAGAAAAAGAGATGGAGAGAAAGATGAAGGAGAGAAAGGGGGGGAGAAAGAGAGATGGAGAGAAAGAGATGAAGGAGAGAAAGGGAGGAGAAAGAGAGGGGGGGAGAAAGATGAAGGAGAGAAAGGGATGGAGAGAGATGAAGGAGAGAAAGAGAAGGGAGAGAAAGGAATGGAGAGAAAGAGAGATGAAGGAGAGAAAGAAGGGGGAGAAAGGAATGGAGAGAAAGAGAGATGAAGGAGAAAAAGAGGGGGGGAGAAAGAAAGAGATGGGAGAGATGAAAGAGACACATAGAGATACCTGTTTAAAAGAAAATACTGGGAGCCACAAAACCTGGGTGGGAGTAAGTGATTTGAAGTTGGCAATGCCCACCCAGGTTTAAGGTTGTGTTTAAGTGCTTACATGTGTTTAAGGTTGAGTGTTTAAAGTTGCAGACCCCTGATCTACCCCATCCAATCGCTTCACCATGCAGCCAGCCCTGTAGGCCTGCGCCCACCTCCCACCTGGGCAGCAGCGGCCTACCTACCCCAGTTGTATTACCTTGCCCTGCAGCCGGCCTGAACACCCACCTCGGACTGCCTCTGACTGCTCCAGCATGTCATTTTTACTTAATTAATTTAATTAAGAATGATACAATGGGCATAAATGATGACTGGTCAAAAGTGTGAGGACCTGTCAGAAATCACTTTTTTCAGCCCTCTGGGTAGTCCCTATTTGCATATGGACTACTCAGAGGGCTGAAAAAGTTATTTTTGACAAGTCCTCACACTTTTGACCAATCATTGCACTTTTGACTGTCCTCACATTTTACGTTTTGTGCCCTATCTTCTCACCGTGGTGAAGAGAACTAGTTGTGAAATGACTGACACGGTTGTTAAGAATGCTGCAACGGGCTGAAATGTGAGGATGGTCATAAGTGTGAGGACCAGTCAAAAGTGCAAGGACCAGTCAGAAATGACTTTTTTCAGCCCTCTGAGTAGTCCCTATGCACATAGCCACGCCCACCCAGTCACATGACCAGCTAGCCAAGCCCACTCAGTCACATGACCACCAATCCACACACACACACACCCCAACTAAGCCACCCCCACAGAACCGGTTGTTCAAAAAATTGAATCCCACCACTGCCTCCGTTGTCCCTGCACTCCACCACCATCACTCTGGCCACCTTGTGCTCCACTGCCTAACCCGCCGCAACTGACCTTCGTTGACTTCTTCCTCCCATTGCTGATGAGGCACATTCCACCTGACTCTGTGAGGCAGCCGCTGGCTGCCCAAGACCTTGAAGCCATGTACAGCCTTTCTGAGGCCTGGCATAGCCTCACCTTTAGCCAAGCCAGATCACTTCGGCAGTGGGAGAAAGAAGATGACGAAGGTTGACAGACAACAGAGCAAGGGCAACGGGAGCGGGGGGGGGGGGGCCAAAAGGGCAGAGATGGGGGGGGTGATAGGCACTCCCTTAAATAAGCATAATAGGGTGTAATTGCACTCTGAAGAACTCATTGGTGCTAGCTGCTTTATTTTATTACCTTTTACAAAGTCTGAAATATTTCCACAGTGGTGACTTATTGGGTCACACAATTGCATTTACTCCTTTTGAGTTATCGGGAGAGATGGGAAAGTTTTCCTTCTAGGTTTCTGTGGCCTCTGCTGCACTATCACCTACTTTGTATTGTTGCTAGCTGGAAGAGGAGGAGGAGAAGGAGGAGGGGTTTGTGAATGCCAGGTATATGAGTACGCAGTTTGCTTTTCGAGTCATTCAGCACCGAATGCAAAAATAAGGGGGGGAGAGAAATCTGTCATTATAAATATTCATGCCAGTTCATTGTTTACAAGCTATAGGTGGTTGTCAAAGTTAAAGAAAAGCCTTTTCAATTTTATGTTTTCATACCTACAAACATTTGTGCTCTTTGTGGAGTTTGCTCGTGAACAAAGGTTAGATTCAGCTGATTCTGTGTTACCTCCAGAATCAGGAGCAACAGGGCCCAAACATCAGCTGAAACTTCTGAATGCTCTTAAGGGGGCCCATTTGCAATACATTGCAATAGTCCAAACAGGAAGTCACAAGGGCACAAGTGACAGTGAGCAGAGCCTATTGGTCCAAGAATGGCCCAACATGCATACAACTCAAAGGTGCACAAAGGTCCTCTTACCATGGCTATTGCCTATTCTTCCAGCATCAGCCATGAGTTCAAATTCTGTTGGAGGGAGGAAGAAATTTGTATGAAGTAAATGTGATTTTTATTAACAAAGGCAGCAATCCTACAAGTGTTTATCAGAGAAGTGTAGAGCTCACTTTTGAATAAACCTAAATGCTGCACCACAGTATTACATAGAATTTTTTAAAATGAAATTTTAATTGTAGTGATCTTACATTTTTCTACCAGTGCCCTTACCTTTTACCTTACCTTTTAACACACAGTTTATTTTTAAAAAAATTTAGTTTCTCCATCACTTCCCAACAACTTTCAACTGCTGTCTTCTTTCTGTCTTGTGTAGCCATTTGGCACTGAAATGCAAAAAGACTATCCATCTTTCTCAGCTTTGGAACTTATGTGGAATTGGTGTAATAGTTAAGGTTTTGGTCTTGGTTATAGACTGTGGATTTTATATAATTGTGAGTCACCAAAATCTATGATTGTGGCAGCATACAAATTTTAGTAAATAAATAAATAAATAAATAAATAAATAGTTGTATCTTTTAGGAACTGGTTTCTCTCATTCTGGATGAAGAACGCAGGAAGAGATTGACTTCTGCATGCAGCAAGGTCCTTCAGAATTTCCCAGAGACCCGTGGTCCTGTTATTTTGGAAGTTGGCTGTGGTTCAGGGGCAATTGGTTTAAGTCTTCTGAAAAAGCTTCCTCACGTAAGTGACATTTCATTAAATAGATTTTTTTCCCCCTTCGATTCAATTGTGTCCAATTCTCAGAGACTACCCAGACAAGTCCCTGCAGTTTTCTAGACAAGGTTTTTCAGTAGTGTTTTGCCATTGTTTCCTTCCTATGATTGAAAGAAAGTGACTAACCCAAGGTCACCCAACTGATTTTGTGCCCAAGGCAGGACTAGAATTCACAAGTCTCCCAGATTCTAACCTGGTGCCTTAACCCATACACCAAACTATAAATAATGCTAACCTTGTCCTTTTTTTTTTCTTGGAGCAAAAATGAACAAGAAGAAAGATGAGCCACTTTGACTTCAAAGTCCCATTTCAAGTCCTCTTTTTTTTTACTGATTAAGCTGGCTTTGTGTTACCTCCAAAATCAGGAGCAATTTGGCCTAAACACCAGTTGCTGTAGAATAGGCCTTTTGGCTTATGTAATACTTGTGGGCTTGATTGCTGATTGTGTAAAGAGAATCCTGGATCAGCTTTATCTTAATCTGATCCAGTATGGCTCTTCTTATCTTCTTAGAACAGATTTGTGATCATACCAGAAAGTGGTTTGTTATAGCCTGATAATCCTTACAGTGATTTGCTTATTTAATAGGTTAGCATGGTGCATGAACCTAGGGTAATTTGGAAACTATGGATTATGGCCTAGCATGCTGCACATTCCCAACAATCAAAGTTTATTCTTTTAAGCATGGTTTATATCATTGTACAAAGCACATGGAAAGCTATAACCAGGTAAAATTTGCTAGTTTGCATTTTAAAAGTATATCCTTCCCTGATATAGATTAACAAAAGCTCATTTCCAAAACATTGCATTTAACATTGCTCACTTCAAACTGCTTTTCCCCAAGGATATTCTACTGTTTCTAAGGAATGTTTTCATGTTTGCTTTCATTATGCTTTGTTTCTTTCGTTCCTAGAGTCAGCTCATTGCCATCGATAAATTAGAAGCTGCTGTTAATCTGACCAAGGAAAATGCAGAACGGTAAAAAAAAACCTTTTATCTTGTATATTACAGTAAACACATTATTTGAACTGGATCCTTAAGCAGCGAAAACAGCATTCTCCTGGGATGAGAAGATTGTTGCCAAAATGTTTGAGAAAACCCAGGTTTTGCAAAAATAAATGGAGCTTCAGACAAACACTCCATGCTGTTGTGCTCTGTTTTGTGCAGTTTGTGTGTTGATCAAGTATCCAATAACACACTGTGGAACTCATGAAACAATGCAGAGAAAAAGCATAAGTTTTGCTATTTTTATAAATTTCATTTTATTATTACAATTAGACGTATTTTCAAACATTTGATGTATGACCTGGCAGCAGTAATCTTTCATAATGGAAGAAGTTCTTCCTTGAAAGAGTTAACTGAACATTCTAATGAACGTTGCAATGAAGCTATCAAACCATTTGGTTCCAGTTAAAAGTTTCAAGAGTATAAACTTACACTTTAAAAAAGAGGATTTTGAATAAACATTGAAAGCAAAAGGCTAGAAATTTTCGCAATCGTTTGGACACATTTCAAAGAAATACATAGGGGGAAATATTGCATCTGTGGTATCATAGCTATTTCTCAACAGTTTTGAATTTACAGACCACAACAGATGGATTGCCTTCCAAATTTCAGACAGCAGAGATGCTGAGGCTTGATTTTAAAAGTACGTCAGTGACCAAAGCATCTAAAATGAGCAATCATAAAACCAGCCCATAATTATTGTCTGGCTTTTTTTAAAAAAAATTAATTAAGAGGATTCTGCTAAATTTAATTTATCAAGATTTTTGAACAAGCCTTCCACCTAAGTCATTTTGGCTAAATTAAATTAAATTAATCCTCACTTGCTGACTATTCATTCAGTGACCATTCAAATGCTGCTGAAAAAGGAGATTTATCACCAGTCCTTCAACTTGCAGCCGTTGCAGTGACCATGACATGATTGCAACTGGCACACATTTTCAACGGTGATAGCATCTCACAGTTTCATGATCACCATCTGCGACCATAGCCAGCTTCCAATAAACAAAGACAGTGGGGAAATCAGCACGAAGGCACAAATTGTGGTCACATGACACCACACTTAACAATTGTAGCTGGAACTGACTGGTAAATTGGGTGCAGTCACATGATGTTTCACTTTATGACTGCTTAACAATGCAATTCTTATTGCAGTCAATAAGTTAGAACTACCTATACTGATTACAGATGACACATGTACTGTATATGACAGAATGAGGGAAAGGAACAATATTCATCTGACTTGTTTTAATCTCGTTTTAAAATTAATTGGCATTAATTTTTGAAATAAGTAGTTGTTTCTCAGTATCATAAGCTATAAATGTTCAAAAAGACCATGGAGTTCTGATATCTTCCATAATCTATTGTTTTTTGGGCTAACTAAGCCAACTGAACACCTCCTCATACATGTTTCCTTCCATGCTGTTTATTTGGGTTGCTCTTCTGGAAATAGGTTTTAGATTTGTGCCTAAAATTTATCCTAAAATGCAGTATGCAATATTCTAGATATAGTATGACCAACACAGAAAAAGACGAATAATAACTATACTTCTGTCAGTGCATTCATACATATTTGAAGTGATACCACAGTAATTGAAAGGCTGTTTTGTAATACCAGTGCATAACTACGGGAATAGCACAGTGGTGGGTTTCAACCAGTGTTACCACCGGTTTGCTTCGTGCATACGCTTTGCACGCATGCGCTCGCTTTCCTCGCATCACGCCAAACTTGCACTCCGTGCAATCACATTGCATTTCTGAACGCTGAGGCATGGCAATCCACTCTGCCGCGCCTTTCAGCTGGGCTAAAAATGACCGAATATAGGTAAGTGTAACGCAGGGGTGCGCGGGAGGACCCAACTGACAGTCAGAGCGAACTGGTTTGCTCTTAGCTCACTGTCGCCGCTACTGGCTTGCCCGAACCGGGGTGAACCGGTAGAAACCCACCACTGGAATAGCAGAATTGTAGGAACACATCTCTCTGTGGGAGAACATCAGTTCTGATTTACAGATATAATTAACTTTTCTGTTGTAGGCAAACAAAATAATTTAAGACTGCCACAGAAAGAAAAGTCTGTTATTTAAAAGTCATAATAATTTAGCAAAGGAATGTTACACAGAAGATTAGAATTTGCAAAAAGTCTATGGAGATTCTCAGTCATCCAGGTCATGGTTGTCCCAAAGGTGCTTTTTCAGGAGGCAACTGGATCTTCTTGTTTTTTTCTTTGAAGACGTTTTGCTTCTCGTCCAAGAAGCTTCTTCAGCTCTGACTGGATGGTGGGGAATGGAAGGCTTTATATTCCTTGCAGACAGCTTGTCATTTGCATTCTTTTTAGAGGGTCTTTGAGGCACTTGGCAGTTTATCTCTGTCCTCAGGGATGCAAATAGTAACAGTAACAGAGTTGGAAGGGACCTTGGAGGTCATCTATTCCAACCCTTGCTCACTCAGGAGACCTGTACTAGGGATTCGAACCGCCGAACTGCCAACCTTTCTGATCAACAAGCTTAGTGTCTTAGCCACTGAGCCACCTAGTCAGGCTGTCTGAAGGAATATAAAACCTTCCATTCCATCCAGTCAGAGATGAAAAACCTTCTTGGATGAGAAGCAAAACGTTTGCAAAGAAAAAACAAGAAAGTCCAGTTGCCTCCTGACATTTGGGACATTAGAATTTGCAGTGGAACACATGTGTCTCCTATAACCTGAGTTTAATCACCAGGCCCCTTAACAGCTCTGTCTGCTGTCACTTAATGCTCAGCTGAATTGGAGCAGTAAAATGCCAAAGCAGCACAATAGAGTATATGTTCTATATGCATTTGGGGCTGTAGCTGAGAAAATATCTGCTTGGAATCTGAATTCAACAATAGTGGACAGGATAATCTAATAATCTGACTTGACATAAGGCAGATACTCATACTTCTTCTTTTTTCCCAGTTAAAAACTTTAAGCATATTCAGAATTGATCTTACATGAGCCCACTGACAATAATGTTGGATAAATGTATTTATACCCAATACTGTCCTCCAGAGTGGTACAAACTCTGCAGAATAAGTGAATATCTCCTGCCTTGATTTGCAAATGCCTTGCCTCCCTTGTCATAAAAGGTAACTGATCATGAAAGCTGGGCTAAAGGAACAAGCACAAACAAGGATTTTTCCACATATATTTTTGCCCCCTTCATTGTAATTCTAATTCCAGAAGCACCCCAATTTCAGTGGGGTTCTTTCCACCGATAACCTGAAGCCCTTTCTAGTAAAAATTGAGCTAGAAATTATTTTCATGCTATGTACTTTATAGGTAAAGATTCCCCTCGCACATATGTGCTAGTCATTCCCGACTCTAGGGGGCGGTGCTCATCTCCGTTTCAAAGCCAAGGAGCCAGTGCTATGGTCTCCGTAGTCATGTGGTCAGCATGACTAAACGCCAAAGGTGCACGGAACGCTGTTACCTTCCCACCAAAGGTGGTCCCTATTTTTCTACTTGCATTTTTTTACATGCTTTCGAACTGCTAGGTTGGCAGAAGTTCGGACAAGTAACGGGAGCTCACCCCGTTACGCGGTACTAGGGATTCAAACCACTGAACTGCCGACCTTTTGATTGACAAGCTCAGCGTCTTAGCATCCCTATGAATTGTATGGGAAGCGCTATAATTGCTTCTCTTGTACCATTCATAACTCTTAACATTGGTAGCCAGAAACCAATGCATTAGCATTTGTTCACAGGTGGTGTTTTAATTGTTAATGGATGTAAATTCTGTAATGTTTATGAGTGTTTTTCTCATCTGCTCATATCTATAGAGTTTTCCATTCAGGAAAATCCCAGTGTGGATTTTGCTATACTTGTTATTAAAAGGGGCTTTCTCATACCAGTGGAAAATAACCCACCTGTAAACAAAGCCACATACACACAGTCCTTTAATAAAAGCACAACAGAACTCTTCCAGGATGATTCAATCAGTTTGCACTAAGTTTAATATTTATATACTGAATTGAATGATTAAATCAGACACTAAAGAACTTGAAAGAATGTCCCCACCCTTACTCTCAATCTAGGTCCATTTTACTTTGAAGTGTAGGCTGGAAGTGAGCATGCCAAATGACATATTTCTTATTTTGTATACTTAGCAGTTTTCATCTCAGCATAATTAGTCTGAATTTCCCTGGTGAATTATGACTAGAAAAAGTTGATTACTAAGTGATTAATGATCTCAATAGATAAAAAACTGGACTATGTTAATACACCAGGTAGTTTTAGAAGAGGAGATGCCATATTTTTCTTACTTACGCTTCTAATTGGTGCTCGAGGTAAAAATCTAAATTTTGGAAGTTACAGTTTGGCAAATTGTCTTCAGAGCTGCTAACAGCAGAATCTGATAAAGAATTGCTGGTGAAAAATCAACATGGAACGTAACACATTCACCATTTTTTAATTTCTAGCTATAACTTTGCCAAACTCTTTTCTCTGCAGCTGTTTCCCTGAGACCAGCATGTTAAGCCATGTTATCTTCCAATCTAAGACAATTATAGGTTTGTCCTGCCTCTTAAACTGCATGTGAAAATGTCAGTGTCTGCCTGTGGGCAAAGCAAGTCAGAGTCAGTCTCTGCTAATGGGATGCCCCACCTGAATGTCTCAAAGGCTTGTGGTTACAGAATATATTTTCTGTTTTGGTCCTATTTTCCTAACTATGATCTGCTTTAAAAATCTTCAATAGTCATATCTGGGCACAGCTGTGGAATTTGACATCTCTTTCTCTAAAAAGTTCAAGAACTCTGCTTCCAAATCAGTTATAAATTTATTAAACAGTGCGGAGTCCAGAATGGTGCCCTGTGATGTCCCACGTAACAATTTGCTTCAACTTGACATGGAGCCATTGGGTGAATTCATTAGATACAATTGTTCAAACCATTTCTGTATCCATCTGATGGAAGCACAATGCAACCTACATTGTATTATCTTCTTTACTGGAAATCTCACAGAA